ACGGGTTACTGACTATAAGAGAATTATACCGTATTATTATTATTAATATTCACAAACATCTTATGGGTACATAAGTGTTGTGAAGAAACCGTTTTGGGCAATAATACACAAGTTTCAATAATGTTAGCATTATACTTGCCATATTTGTAAAAAGTAATAATAATGGAATAATAATAATAAATCGAGTCTGTGTAATTGAGAAGAATATTGAATTGAGTTTAAAAAAGGAAAAGAAGAAAATAAGGGAATAGAAATAAAGAAGACGTGAAATACGCAAATAGTTTAATAGGCGTGTTTTCGAACACAAAACAAGAATAAACGACTATGTATGTATCGTCAGATTAGTAACAAAAATAAAATAGAAAATAATTAAGAGAAAAACAACTTATTATTGTAGTAAGATATGACGCTAGAATAAAAGTATGTGCAGTCATAGTTTGGAGTGATGCTATGGAAGTCTCAATTAAGTGAAAAAGATAATGAAATATCAATATATATGAGTCATATATGGATAACGAAGATAAAACGAGTCTGAGAAGTTAATTTACGTGTAACACAAGTTATTGTCTTAATTACAAACTCCGTAATCTTACGAATAATATTTATTTAGATGAAAAAAAAAAAGAGAGAGGAAAGAAATGAGCACCTAGTGAAAGGGTTAAACCATGATGATAATAATAATAACTGTGTATTGAATATCGACCTCTGAAGTAAACCAACAATTTAAAAAATAAGATAAAATAAACCTTTTAGTGCACTCGGTTAAATACATGTAGATTTATGCAATAGTATACAGAGTGAAACTGGATATTATTATAAACATTTGTGCAATAATAATTAAGAATGATGCTATGGAAGTCACAATTAATTGCGAAGGATAATCAAATATAAATTTCTATGTGTTATATATATGTCGTGATGATAAAATTATTCTGTGGAGTTAGTTTATTTAAGTGTACCGTGAGATAATTTGTTTTTAGTCATATGTTGTCTTGCTGATGATCGAATGTTGTCTCATCGTTGGAGATTTCAGCCCACCGCGTATCAACTGGATAGAGCTCACAACTACAGGTGGATGTTTCGATAGAAACCCACTATCAACCAGTATTTGGTGTACACTTGTACGATGTGTCGCAAAACCGACGCATTGAACTGAGGCATGAACCGCTATATCTGGACCTTGTCTTTACACACCACTGTGACGATCTCATCCACATTCAGCTTCTTAATAGTAATAATAATTTATTCTCAAATAACAGTTTGTTACATGAGGCAACCAGTTTACAGGCAAGATCAAATCTTCACAAAAGATACGATTCTCATTGTAGTAAATTACTCAACTGGGTTGATATTTTATAAAATATGAATGTAGATAGTTTTAGTAACAATCGTATTGTTAGTATCACAGTTGGCGCGCAATATGAAGGTTGCGTTGTGGCATGCGAGTGACGGTCGAGAATAGATCTATGTGAAGTTGGAGGCTTCTGGAAACTGCAACCATATATCCCTCTGGAATATCTGAGGCTTTGATGATGATGCAGGACGAAGTCACCCGTTCCATATCTGTTTTCGGTGGCACATCTCTTCCCTCACTGGTGATCACAATGTACTTTGCTTTAGGTCATGGACATATGGTATGTATCTGCTCCATCCCGTTCCAAAATCTGACGAGCTAACGTTCCGGCATTCAGAAACTTTTCTATCTCAACAGACTAGTTGTCGAAGCGAACGGATCGATCGAGGACGAATGGGATAGGTTTAAAGCCGTATTCGAGTTCACAACATCACTGTTCATCCTATAGTTAACACGGGCTGTCATATTTCCCTCCACGGATTGACAAGGAAACCCGAAAGCTGCCAAAGCGTAAGAAAAATTTATGGGAAATTTTCTTGTCGACAGACCACGAATCACTTAACTTTGACTACCGAAAAATCCGAAATATATGTAAAGAGATCACAGCTAGATTCCATATCATTCACGAAAGGTAGTCGTTGTATAATAGCCATACTTTGCCAGAATGATTGTTTTCATACAGTAAACTAAAAATAATTCGTAATGATGGTATTCCATCGTTACTACTGCAGGAAAATTCAGATATTCTGGCTGAATCAGATTTGTCCGAAGATGAAACCTTATCAAACTATTTCGGCGAAGTATGTGGGTATTATTAACAATATTTGTCATAACCACACCACTGTGATACCAGCTGCAGTGCCTGCACATGTGACTGGGGAAACCGTTCTTCAATTGATCGGTTGCGTCAGGCATAGTAAAATACCGAACCCTGACAGGTTACATTTGTAACAACTTAGGTTGATTGGTCAAGAGTTAGCCTCAAACAAATAAGCATATGTCAAAACAGTAGAGATCAAGTGTTCATTCACTTCTTTATTTAGTATAGGCATTATATTCCCTATTATCTTATATTGAATGTTGAAAAGCTTTATGTGTTTGAACAGATAACCGCTCGCTCTACTATGATTTTCCCATTAGCTAAATAAAGATCTACTCACTACTAGTCCTGTTTCGTATATCGGTCAGACGAGGGCTATCCTCAGTCACGAAACATCTACGATTATTGTCATCTCTCGCAGACATTATTTTAAGGTCACCCATAATGATCTTCAACATGTTTTGTTCCCACACTCAATCTCCTAGGGGTCGGAAAGATGTTATAATTAGTCCTAACCTGTCAGTCTAATCAGCGCAATAGCCAAGTTACTTGAAAATATGACTCAGGTTAAGTTATTAAGTCACATAGAATCATACAAGCTGTTAACTCCTGAGCAACACGGGTTTTAAAACAAACTTTCATGCTTGACCAACCTGCTTATTGCGAAAGAAGACTCAACAGAAGCCCTAGATAAGGGTCCGTCTGTTTACTAATGTGATATTCGCTGACTATAGCTAATCAATTGATAAGGTTTCTCACATAAGTCATGTGAAGAAGCCCTCCACCTTCGGATTAACAGCTGATGTACAGGAATGGATAAGAAACTTCTTGCGTGGCCGAGTAAACAAAGAGTAAATGGAACACTATCTGAATGAAAGACGGTCAAAAGTGGCGTGCCCCAACACATCTTACGTCCCCTAAATTTCCTTCGCTACGTCAATGAGTTGCAGCGATTACATAAGTCGTCGACATTATTGTTACGACCAAGTTTTTGCTCGCTTCCGTTATTGAAGTACGGTATATCGATCTACTTGCCACTTACGAACTCAAACCAACAACAGAACCAAGCCTCAATTTAGGTACCTAAGTTTATTCGCAATTTACAAATAGTCGACCCAACTGTCGTTCTTCAATTTTGTAGGTTCTCGGAGCAAACACTCTCGAATACCAAACCAAAGACAAAGAGAAACCAAAATGTCCGTCAATAATGATATAAATAAAAAAAGTCCAGAAGTTGAGTAAAGTAAATGCATTCAAAAAACACAGTTAAATTATTAATATTCAATACAAAGCTTTTAGTTAGCCAAATGTTTTCAGTCCTCCAGTAACATTATTATTTGTGGATGATGCCAAAATCTCGAGAACGATAAGCAGTGAAACTGATCATTTTGATTTAAAAACTGACTTAGACGAATTTGTTAGATGGTCCCAATGTTAAGGCTTAGAGATTTATTCTAGAAAGAGTGTGCTCATGCACATTGGACTAGATAGCGGTTGCCAGTATACTACCGATGGTGCATCTCTTGTATACGTGCGGAACTTAAAGACTTAGATTTGATATTGAGTCACGGCTTGAAAACAACTATGTATCGCAAGGCAGTAGCTGTCGAAGGTTTTCTTGCATTATGGTCACCTCGCTAAGCATTGCAATAGTTTGATGAGATGTTTCAGCGTGTGTGAACGGAATAAGTGAAGGGTCATTCTCACCTAACTCAGGACGAGCGTGTGGTGGACCAAACAATATATGAACTCCAAATAGTAATAAAGTTATTGCGTACAAACAGTAATGTTATAATATATCGGTTATACGTTATAAACAATAAAAATTTTTGGACGTTACTTAAATCAACTGGCTTGAGATTGTTCAGATTGCGTTTGGTACCAGAATCCACAATTATAAATGATTAATAATTCCAATAACATTGTTGTGCTTCCAGTAGTTTAGCTAAACGTAGAATATAATGTATATGTAGCTGCAGTCTATAAATGTAGACAGTAGATGATTTAAAGTTCAGATATCACAACCACAAGCAAAAGAGAACTAGATATGTATGTATAGTAGTGTATTTGCTGGCAGTTAACAGCGTGTGTCATGCTATGCGTGTAACAACGGAAGAAAGTGAGTTCAAGCTCATGCACTCAAACAACATGTACAATCATCTTGTAGTAAATATACAAACTGTAAACTTTAACGGAATGAATACAGATAAAATCAAAAACTATTTACAAAATAAGTTTGTCATGCCTATCTCCACAAGCGCATAAAACGCCTAAACCTTCGCCCCTTATCGTATCTCAGAATGCGGGGTGACCATATATTGTCATCCCCTATTCTTAATTACGATTTGGGTGTTAAATTAGTCCTTTGTTTTTGCTCTATTCATCACTAATAAAAATTGAGGCCATAACAAGAGGGTTCAAAAACCGCGATCTAATAAACTCAAGGTGAAGTTCCGTCTTTCATACCGAGTGGTCATAACTGAAAAGCCATAAATTAAAAAATAGTATTAGCCCCATCGGTGAACATTTTTAGTAAGTAGCTTGGCTTTCACTGAGAAATAATCTGTAAGTGTTAACACATGTCCATCAACCTACTATCCTTATCACTGAAGGCTGAACATCATTGTCAAAAACTTTTGTAAAGAAACTGGTTCTTCATGTAAATGATTGCTGCACGTTATAACAAAGGCCAAACGGTTAACAGAATTTCTCGCCGATGACAATCAATGGACACATTGAATACTTCCAAATGTGTGGCGGTTATGATTACTACTTCGCTACTGAAACAGGGATGTGAATATGTCCAACTTGGTTTATTAATGTATCATGGATTCTCAGTGGGAGGGTTTGTTAAATATTAATTTGAAGAAGTTTCTATAGCAGTTTTCAATCATTCAGGATCAATTCCTGACCATCCTTATCTTCCTAGTGTTTCTAAATCTGTTTATATATTGGGCTGTAAGTATGACTCTTTAGATGGTAAGTGTGAATGTATTAAATATCCTTCATCATTTGTGTTTGAAATCTTTGTTCTGGCTTTTGCTTACACTTCACTGTCGAGTTTAAAAACATTCGGCTGTACCCAAGACCTAGATTATTCTTAAGGCACACAAAAAATAAGGGACTCAAATAAATGCAGATTCATAGTCAAATACTTTGAAGGTATTCCGAAGTAACTTCAATGTGAGCCCGATCCCTAACATTGCCATCCAGTCTTTAATTCTAATCAGAAGGCTCGTTTTGGAGTTGCTCTGATGTACCTCACAATTATTTCTCTATGATTTTGCATCTATGTGAGTTATTTATATGTCTTCTGCATGTAATTATTTTTAATTATCAATAAGTTAGTCTTCATTCTATAAATTTTCAAAGGTAAGAGCGATTTATCAGTAAACGTTACTGTTTACAAAATAGTCCCATTCTTTGGTCGAAGACCTTAGACAATATAGCTATAAACAGTTGGTTTGGTTGCAAAACTGTGGCCATCAAGTTTCAAAGAATGCCTTAAATGATTATTTATTCCTTCGGATGCTGTCACCGAATTTCATTCGAAAGTGTGGTTTATTATCGCTCAAAAGTCGTCCATAAATTAAAGTCTCACTAATATTTAGCCTTTCAAAATTTAAAACTTGAGTAATAACTGGATACAGTAAATCATTCGCAACACCACAATCAAGTGTTCTGAGTATTCAGAGATCCCGAGATTTGTTGAACGTGTCCTTTTTTGCTTTTCAGTCTGTTTCGAAACTATAAGTCGAGGCACTAAATGCTTATCTTCCCATAGTTTCAAATAAATTTTCTCAGTTTTGGGAATTGGACTAATGGGTTATTGTGCCAGGTTATTTGGTAAATAATACTTTCTTAGCTATGCTAGTTTATTCTCATAGTTGTTTTCAATTAGTATGACTGCTCAATAGACTTTGGTGTGGACTTAAGCCTCCGAACGATTAGAAATCAAAGACCATTAGCCAGAAGAATAGGTTTTTCATATAATAAGTTGACATACTCACATACGAAATATTAACACGAAATGAGTTCTAAAATGTTATGATTGAATGGAGAACAATTACTTTGTAGATCATTCACTTTTCAGTCAATGAGGACCTGGTTATTAGACTTCAGAAAAATTTATCCAGATTCCATACTCAACGGTAAGATCCAAGATTTCGACCAGTCAGTGATTTCGTTTATACAAGACAGAACTTTCACTATAGATAGACCGCTAAGTGATCCGAAAAATAAATTCAAACTTGAAATAGAAAAGCGCTGTAACGTAAAATAAAAACATTTCGATTAAAAAAATTGTCTTCAAGTTAGTATTTAAGCGGACCAAATGGATCAGTTTCCTTATAATCACTCGTTGCTATATTTTTGAAAGAATTGTAATACTGCCCGGGTGCCCGGACCGAAGCAGATGATTCTCTAAGGGAGGCACTCCTCAAGTCGTTGACCCAGAGATCTTATCCACAAGATAGTGTGGGAATGTCAGGATATACAATCCCCTGGTTAACCAGTGGCCAAAGACAAGTTCGTATGGTCTTTCATCCCTCAGGATTCTGGAGTTGATATGCACCATTGTTTCGGAACCAGAATTTTCTAGTTCTCCTAGACAGACTGTTCGTATCCACCAACTCAGTTAAAGCTATGGACGTTCGGTTTTCGTTCTCTCTTCTGCGAATATCACCCGTATCACGAAAAAGCAATAACTAAGACTTCAGCAGTAGTGACTAAAAACGTGTAGCCATATGAAAGCATCTCGAGCAGAAAGCAGAATCCCTCTTTCCGGCCGTACAAGTGCTTTTGGGGGGCGCGAAAACAGTATTTCCACTAATTATGGTCATTTCATTTTATTTTTGTGTGGGCTGTGATACTTCCCGAGTGCCCAGACCGAAGGCGGTTTCTTAGAGAGCTTTTGACATAACCCTTTTTAAAGATAGGGACAATTATCAACTCATTCCACGATGTTGGAACTACCAAACAATTGTAAACAGCTCAGTCCCTTAACCACAAAGTCACCACCATCTTTAAAAAGAGCCGGAGGTAAGTCATCTGGGCTCAATGATTTGTAGCGCCTCAAGAGTTGGAGTTCCTTGCGGACTTCCACCTCCTTCGGTGGACCACTAGTCACCGGCCATGAAGGGCAGGACAGTCTGACCGATGTTGCCGGAGCATCAGACCAGTCAAACTGCCCCTCGCCCAAGACGTCGATGGATGTTAGTGATTGGCGTTCCGTCGTCCTCGCAGATTGTTTCGCTCACACCAGACTTATTGCTGCCAGTGGCTCGGATGAGTTGGAAGAGCTTTCGGTAATTATCAGATGCAGCTGCTGCTTCCAGCTGATGAGCACGCTCCGACCACCAGGCTTCTCGGTCCTTACGCAAGCTTTGCCCAATTTCATAACGTAACATCCTTCGTTTGTGGTCAAACTCACGGTCACCCGGAGTAGACCGACGGGCTTCAATAAGTTGTAAGGAACCTGAAGAAACCCAGTGCTTATAAGCGGGACGTTTCGCGAACCCACAACTGACTGTACCCGCCATTTTCATGGCATCATGCAATTGCAACCAATGCTCATCTGTAGTTTTCGGTGGAATGGTAGCTAGCCTAGAAACTAGCGCTGTTCGATACTTACGAGCAACAGAAGTTGCGACCAGTTTGCTAATATCAATCCGTTGATGGCAGTCACTTCGTTGGCGGTAGCTGATTGCGATGTGATCAATCTGAGTCCAGGCTTGGGATGCAGAGGGAGGACGCCAGGTGTCACATCGGCAATGACTGTGCCGAAAGTTAGTGTTAGCCAGAAACAGGTTGTGGTCTGTGCACAGTTGCAGTAGACGGTCTCCGTTATCTGTCCTACGACCAACAAGTCCACATCGGCCACCTAAACGACTCTCTTCTGTGCCTAGACACCCGACCTGAGCATTCAAGTCTCCGGCTAGTACTACAATATCTGTCGAACGCACTTTCTGGAGAAGAACAGATAACTGGTGGTAAAACTCATCCTTGATTGCATCCGGGCTGCAATCTGTCGGGGCATAGGCGGAGATGACGCAAAGACATCGTTTCTCATGCCGATCTCTTCTCACTTTGATGGAACTTTCTAATAGCCCCCAAATGCCCTGGTATGGCCGAGAGTTGGATGAATACTACCACCAGTTGACTGTTCTTCTCCAGAAAGTGCGTTCGATAGATATTGTAGTACTAACCGGCGACTTGAATGCGCTACAAATCACCTGGCCCAGATGACTTACCTCCGGCTCGTTTTAAAGATGGTGGTAACTTTCTGACTAAGGAAGTGACGACGTTGTTCACAAAGTTCTGGGAACTAGAGAGCGTACCAACGTCATTGAACGAGTCGATAGTTGTCCCTATCTTTTAAAAGGGTTCACGTCGTTCCTGTAACAACTATCGGGGGATAAGTCTACTTCCGATTGCGTCCAAGCTATTGGCTTCCGTCATACTTCGTAGGTTGTTCAAAACCAGAAAAAGATTGACTCGCGAGGAGCAGGCTGGGTTTTGTTCTGGTCGGGGATGTATTGATCATATATTCACCCCCCGCCAAATGTTAGAACACCGTCATACTTATCAAAGGCCAACAATCGTAGTGTTTCTTGACATCAGGGTTGCCTTCGGTTCGTTGGACAGGACTGTTCTCTGGGATTGTCTATTGAAGAAGGGTGTGCCTGAGAAGTTTATTAACATCTTAAAGGCCCTGTATACAAACACCTCAAGCAGAGTGAGGGCATACAACCACCTCTCTCCATTGTTCCATTCGAGCAGTGGGGTTAGGCAGCGTTGCCCAATCTCAACATTCCTCTCCAACTTTGCCATCGACGATATTCTGGAAACAGCTCTGATGGATCTAAGTGATGGCGGTGTGGATCTGTTGCCCGGAGAAAGACTTCTCGACCTTGAGTATGCGGATGATATTGTTTGACTGTGCGATAATGCCCAAGGCATGCAATCCGCACTTAATCAGTTGGCAATCAGTGTCCGTAGGTATGGTATGTGCTTTGCATTTCGAAGGTGCAAAGCACTTCTACAAGACTGACAGGACTCTAATCCTGTACTCACCCTGGATGGTGAGCAGATAGAAGTAGTCGAGAAGTCCGTGTATCTAGGTAGCTGCATAAGTGCTGGTGGGGGTGTGAGTGATGAGATCAATGCACGTATAGTGAAAGCCAGAGCGGCTTATGCCAATCTTGGCCACCTCTGGCACCTTCGTGATGTTAGTCTGGCTGTAAAAGGTTGGATCTACAACGCGTCGGTAAGAGCAGTTTTGCTCTATGCTTGTGAAACCTGGCCTCTCCGAGTTGAGGACGTTAGACGACTGTCTGTGTTCGATCGTCGCCATCTCCGAAGGATTGCTGACATCCAGTGGCAACATCATGTCAGTAATGCAGAGGTTCGGTATCGTGTGTTCGGTCACAGAGACGATAATGAAATTGGTGTCACCATCTTGAATCACCGACTTTGGTTGCTTGGACATGTTCTACGAATGTCGTCCCGGAGAATTCCACGTCGTGCATTATTTGCCGACTCTGGGACTGGTTGGAAGAAGCGGAGAGGTGGTCAGTGCATGACATGGTGTCGGGGTATGAAAGAAAGCTGCAAAGGACTGGCTTCTGTGGGTCCTTCAAGACTCCCTGGCTGAGGTCCGAGATATGGTGCAACAGTGGTTAGGGAAGTTATCAGATATGGCTTAGAATAGAAGTCAGTGGCGATCCTGCTGTAACCTTCTTTTACTTTCTTCATAAAAAGTGGTTGTGTCTTCCTTAACTGAAAGAATTCTTCTGATTGTACCTTTCTGTTCCCTTATTATTATTATTATTATTATTATTATTATTATTATTATTATTATTATTACACTACCTTACATCAATCTCTTCGTTATTGTTCTTTTATTTTTTAACGCTCCTTACCTTTTTTTCTTTTTCCTCTTTCAATTCTCATTGTTTTGTGTGGCGCATATATGTTGGCGCTGTCTTGTACCAATATTTATGTGTTCAAATAAATAAATAAATCTTTTAACTACGAAGTATTTTTACAAAACTAGTGAGGGCTTGTCCCTGCACTCACTCTTTGTTATGAACCGATAGTAGTTAAGAAGTTTGTGTATGTAGTCAGTTGTCTGAGTGTTGGTGGTGTCGTGAGTGATGAGACCCACCTGCCTATAACAACAGCCATAGTGGTTTATGCCAATTTGAGCCAACGTAATGTTAGTGTGGGCGTAAAAGATCAGGTTTATCATTCGTCAGTGATGGTTGTTTCTCTATATCCTTGTGAAACCTGGCTTTTCCGAATTGAGGATATTAAGCAACTCTGTGTTCAATCACTGTTGTCTCTAAAACATTTCTGACATTCAGTGGCAACATTATGTTAGTAATAGTGAGTTTCGGCAATGTGTTTGCTCAAAGTGATGACAACTCAATTGGTTTCACCACCTTGAAACATTGACTTCTATGTCTTGGACATGTGTTACAGATACTATTCCAGTGGCTGTCGCACCATGCATTAATTGTTGACAGAGGTTAGTTGGAAAAGAAAGAAGTGGTTAGTCTGTGACAGGTTCCTGGGGTATGGAAAAAAGCTGTATAAGACTGGTGTCTGTAAGTTCACGACTCCCTGGATGTGTTTGACTAACTAGTTGAACCTTGTTTAGGTCCGAGAGATGATGGCTTGAGATGCTATCAGAAATGGCTCCGAATAGAAGCTATTGACGGTCTTGTTGTAGCTTTCCTTTACATTCTTCATAAAAGTGAGCGGAACTTCTTTAACCGGAAGAATTTTTCTTAGTCGTATTTTTTCAAACGAATTTATCTCTCACTATAATGTGCTCTTCTTCACTTATTTCTATTCGTTTATTTACTTGATTATACTCTCCTTCCTCTTTTCCTTCACGATTACATATTTGTGTGGTGCTTATTTGTTTTGGCTCCCATTTGTACGAATATTTATGTTTGGATAAATGTGATTCATAGGACTGATTCTTGGGAATCTTATTATGGAAAACATGTACGAAGCTAGTTAACCTCATATATTTTTTTGCTACGCAGTTTTATCTTTCACCGTGAACTGCTTTTTCCCTGTGACTATATTACTGTTTGTTTTTGTTTACACTTTTCTTTTTGCTGTTCCAGATAGGGAGGAAATTGCACGTCACCTAAAGTCTCGACTATGGATGACTTACCGAAAGGGTTTCTCCCCAATTGGCAGTCGAAATGGTCCTAAATCAGATGCTGGATGGGGTTGTATGCATCGCTGCGGACAAATGATTCTTGCTGAAGCCATGTTAAGATTTCACCTCGGACGAAGTTTGTTTATATATATATATATATATATATATATATATATATATATATCGAGCTTTTAAATTTACTGCTTATTACATCATTGTCATTTGAATACTTAATAAGTTGCCTATAGATTGTTCGTACTTCATTAGGAAGGAAATTTAAATTATAGGTTGCCGACTAATTAAATTCCAACAAATAACCTTATACAAAAGATAGAAGTGAATTGATTTCATTTCTTTCAAATATACAAGAATTCTAAAACTGTAATGTTAAACTTTATCACCAGGTTGGTTATTAAACTCTAAGTGATAATAATCTCTTTCTGTATATAATCAAATCTACTAATGCTTAATCCTAATTTAATAGACTAAAAAATAAATTGATTTTGTGTACATTTATCATAGTCTCAGTTAGTCAGTCTTGAGTGCCGTTAGAGGTATGAGGGTGGTTATCACTTCCCGGTTGCCCACACCGTGGAAGGGTTCTTCTGGAGGTACCTGAAAGGGAAATCGGGTTAGAGGTGGTCTTAGTGACCTGAAAGCGTGAACGCAGTGCGGTGCCCAAAAGATAACACGACCTTTTTATGAGTAATTTTCGTGTTAACTCCTTACGTTTTGAGACCTTACCGCCGGAGATGGGTATACGTGGGATAAGGCGAGGTGTGCATTTTTGGGGTCGACCTTTTCTAACCCCACCTCTCCCTGTGGGAGGGCAGCATCGCGGTCATGCTGGTTGTCTGAGGGAAACACCTTACTGCTGTCACACCTCTGTACAGTCAGCAGTATGGCTTCGCCTTCGGACCTTGGGTTTGTTGCTTTTAGTCTTACCGCTCTTCAACCGACATGTCTGGCAATTTAGGACCTTGGGGAACGGTTATTCCAGCCATTATAGCCCAGTTGCTTCTTCAAGATAGGCAAGCCCGACCACCACGTCAAGGTAATAACAACGGTCGAGTTATCATAGTCTTGTCATACTTGTATCTTTTCCAGTAATAATGTTTATTTCTTAGTAAATAATAAATTTTTTTTCGAAAATATTCCATAACACAGATGTGTTGAATAAATATCTACGTTTTTTGTGAATATTTAGTATCTTATCAATTCTTTTCCTCATGATAACTTCATGTTTATCGTAAAGATTTCAGCTTTTTGTGACGATATATATATATATATATATATATATATATATATATATATATTACTCCTTAGAAGATGAAACCATTTCATGGCCAATAACATCTGTCAGCTAAGCGCTTTTCGATTAACACGACGTGACCTCATTTGTGGATTTTGATCACACCACTATCACTGAGTTCAGTCGTTTTTGTGTTGTCAAATACATCTCTACCTGCGTCAAAAAATGGTACTTACATTATTATTTTTCTTACTGATTGAGCGCAATAGAAGTAAAGATTAAAATCAAGGTTTCTTTTACTAATCAATATTCACTATCACATCTAAAGTTTGTTTATAATACCATTCCTTTATTTTAACAAAATAACCCACTAATTATTTTATCACCATCTTTCAGCGTGGAAATGGAGTCCTGAACAAGAAAGCCCGGAATATTATCGTCTTCTACAAATGTTTCAAGATCGACGGTCTGCGCTTTATTCCATTCAAACTATTAGTAAATATGATACTTTTCCTTGTTTTATAAAACCGTGGTGTACTACTTACTTGTTTAAGGTATTTGTCGCCAGTATTTGTAAAACAACTAAAACTTTACCAACTGAATAATATAAATCACGTTACTTAAGTACATAAACCTTAAATAGGCTCTCTTTACAAACACCATCGGTTGAGTTATAGCTTATGGTGAATTTCCATTCAAATCATTAACATAAAGTGGTATTCGTTGGAGTTCCTCACTTTCCTCCTTTATACCCAATTTTGTAATGGATGTTCTACCAGGAGGTTCACTTATCAACTTAGGAATTTCACCAGCTTTGGTGGAATAATCTTTTGACAAATTTTCTGCACGGATTCATAAAGCTCTCCTGGTTCTCGCAAAATTACATAATTTATGGCATAGGCGAAATGCCAGTCTTCTAACCTAAGCGGGAGTATACCACCTATAAATCTACTCTTCGGCTGCAAAATATGGTCCATGAAGATATAAGACAGGTTACCGATAGAATTTTGAGCATGGATGTCTTCGAAGCAGCGGTCTTTTATCATGAAATGACTGAGTGAATAGTGTTGGAATTAGGCAAGTATGGTAAATCGACCGAGACGGTTAGAACATGTTTTACGTATCTCCAACTACCCTGCGCGTCGATGGGTATTATTTGTTGGTGTAGAAGTCATTTGAAAAAAACCCAGAGAAACCCAAATCAAGATGTAGCAACAGTCCATAAATTTATTGTCTGTTGGTAGGTGGAGACTACTTGGTTGAAGTCAACGCGATAACTGCAATCAGTGACTAGAGACGTTAAGTGATATGACTCAGAGTCAGCTACAAAAGGGAAGATGCATCTACATTTTTCTTAACATTCTAAGTTCTATTGTTCCTTTATACATAACTTATTATTATTATTATATATTAAGAACCTCATTCTTAATGATTAGTCTTTCTCATTGTCGTCACTACGTTACTTCAACTCTGCTATTCCACTTGTTTTTTATCTGGTCGTATTCATATGGTTTGGTAATGTGAACTAACGCAGGATTGTGTCAGGTTCTACGTTGATTATGACTGGGCAATCATATTTAGATTTATCTAGTATTCTGAAAACTACGCTGTCTAGTCTAAACCGACCATTAAAGTAACTAAAGTGGATTTGAACCTCTGATTATTTGTTCCTCACTGCTTAATAATTCCACAAAAATAATTATTATTGGTCACTCCTCAGGTACTACTTGATATGGTGTACAATCTAATAAAGTATGGGATTGTCAAAATAAAGTTTATAAATTCGGTACTAAATACATGATTAATATCAAATTATTTCCTAAATCTCTCGTTTCATAGGATTCCTTCCATGACTAAACATTAACGTTTACCAGTCTAAACATATCGATATCTGTTTTATGCATACTAGTTACACAAACGTTTCTGGTGATAAGAAACTACTTTTTTGGTTACTTCCAATTAATCCTTGTTATAGACTAATCAACAGCTATCTCAAAAATGATTGTAAGTATACTTCTGTTTAAGCTTTGTATACAATTAAGTATTTACAGCCTAGTACATATATTGTGCTTTTAATTTGCGCTTTCAAGATAAATACAAATTCTTTAAAGTTCCATAGTTCAGTGTAGACTTCTAGGTATGAATCAACTTGATGATAATCTCTATCTGTCAATTATAGGCTCAAACCCTGTGAAGAATAGCTAGTATACTTCTGGTAAACTTTACAAACTGTCATTCTAAATATATCTTGCAACTAAATATATCCTATTAAAATGACTTTATTCAGCGCTTAAACAAAATGAATTGAACTTCACACCATTGCACAAGTTAGTGGCTATCTAAACTCAGTAGCTAAATGGGTAATGCAATGACGTTTGAAGCAAATAGTACTGGGTTCGAATCCCGAAGTGAACATCAAATCTGGGATGCAGGTTCATCCCAAATAGGACGAAACGCGTGTCCTGGATTCCTCTGCTGGCCAGCATCTGTCTTTGCTTATAATACTTGTGGATTAAGGTAATATCGAGGGAATACGCACAGTGTTCACATATGCCAATAAGTGACTGATCAATTGCAGTCTTAAACGTCAATGGGAAGATTCAAGCAACCACCACAAAAGTGAACTAGAGAAACTATGTTTTTCATCAATGAAATGTTCAACGTATACTTGCTGATTGTTTTGAAAACAACCGTTTTTGTCTTGTTGAGACCTCCACAAAATGTATGCCTTCATAGAATTTAAAATCCGTGCCAGTCACTGTCTCTTTTAGAAACCTTATTCCTAAAGTATTTGAAGTCGTGATTACCCTCTCTTGTAGTATACAACGATCATACTGCCAGCTGTTGATTTTGTTTTATTAAATAACAATGGATTACCAAGTAAAAGAATGCAATTCGGAAATCTCGTGTTCTGTTGATATCCAAACTTTACATGTGAGTGGTTATTACGTCCTTGATCTGTCTTCCCAACAATATACAGAAATGAACTTGTCCCGATTTAGGTTAAGGCCTTGACACTAGAGCTAACTGGTTCAACCTTGAGTTTATAAATGAGTGAGTCCGTATTGTGACTAACGGCCTTGGGCACAGATAACAACTATTCTGTCACCTGATTAGTTGACAAGAGGGAGGAAAGACGAGTTAACTTGATCACTACTCAATTTATCTCCAATTCAGATTAAAATTAGTGCAAAAAGTTACGTCAATAAATAGATGACTAACATGATCACAACGCCCAAACGATTATAAAAATACAATTATGTCCAAACTGGACATTATGGAAGTAAAATCGAATACCGAAGATTACGTTTAAATTACAATAGATTCGCAACAAAAAAGGGTATAGCAGGAAGCTTATGGTTATCACTAGGACCAAAACTAAGCGTTAGTATTTCACAAACTTTGATTTATATGAAATAGTGTTCCTAAAAATGCCGTCCTTTGTTCGTCGTAGCTTCTTTGTTTCTCTATTCACGTCAGGGATTGTAATACTATATAATTGTTCGAGCCAAAATAAGCTAAGCGACCAGCAGCCTACTGATTGAATATCGAGCCATTCAACTAATAAGCCACCAATTCATTTACCTTATAAATCCTGTTTAAAACTGAATTACTACTTTGTTACGATCCAAAACTATAGTCATTTTTACTAAAAATAGCTTCTCTGAAAGTTAATACTGTCACTGAGTAAAACAAAGCATACAGTTGCTTAGTAGTTGAGGTGTTCGACTTTCATACAATACGTTGCAACTTGAACTCCATCTACTTCGGTCTGAGCAAGTGAGTATTATCACAAATGGAAATCTTGTTGCTTTTACATGCTAGAAACTACACTTTAGACTGATGAGTAGAAATAAGGATCTTTGAAGTTTCTCAACTTAATTTAAGTTGATTTTTCGGAGTAAATAAACAAATAACCGAAATTAAATTAAAGTTCTAAACTTGTGTTAGGATATTACAAATATATCCTTATTTTGTTATTATTCTACCCAGTCCCTAATTTATTTGGAACAATCAAGTCAACCTTTGTTAATGATGCTTACTTATCGTTTAGACCATGTTTTTTTTAATTCTTAAGAGACAATTGCCGAAGACATAAGATAAACTGCTCTTCATAATAAATATGTGATATCAATGTCTATTTGTTTCTTGTTGTTTGCTTTGCTGTTAGCCCTCACAGGTGTATCACTTGGTAAATCTATTGGAAGTTGGTTTGGTCCAAATACTGTTGCACAAGTGCTCAAGTTAGTAAATACCTTGTTTTTTAAACGTATAAATGTGATGAATTCATTAGATGTTCGTTGATCTTCGGATATCATCACATGTAAATAGTCCATGATTTATGTAGATTATGAACCTGTTTTTTTTCTTCTAGAAAACTATCTGTCTATGACCGCTGGACAAATTTATTTATTCATATTTCTGTAGAGGATGGGATCATCATTGATGAAATCAGTAAGTTATATTTTAGTACCATTTTTCTTGAATCGTGTGTTATTATTATTAGTAGTAGTATTATATTTAAATAGAAAATTACAGAATTTTTTGGTAAGATATGAGAATTATGAATTGAATATTTCATTTGTAAAATTCCGTCGTATGTCCTTCACATTCTGTATGGTTTTCCCAAGTTTCAACTCCTTTCTATTTCCCTTTCTGCTTTTTTCAAGTTGACCTTCATATTCTTCTGCTGCCATGCATCCCTCTTCTTATTGGCGTAACATACTACTTATATCGACAAACATAAGTAGCATACACCACAGTAGTAGTGTTAGTGATTGAGATTCCCAGATGGTGACTGTTAAACAATAGAAGACGTAGTATCTAGCCACCAATATTAAGTTTGTTGTCTGATGATGATATGCTTAGTTTAAACTCTCTTACTGAATTCCTTTCTTCGTGGTGCTAGTACTTCGAAGTTGATTGGTCTAATTTTGAAGCTTTTATTGTAACTTATGGATAACATCATTAATATAAACAGGTTATCAGTTCATGTATGGAGAAATTCGAATCGACCACTTCTACCTGAAATTCCTTCTAATAATGTTTTCCTTTAGAATAACGAAGACTTCATGATTAAATCGATTAGCTTTAGGGAGTGGATAAGTGTTGTTGAAATCATTCATCTTAGCTACAAATTTTCACTATCTCTGAATTGTATGTTGAATTCTTCTATACATATACTACCATTTCATGAATTTGAGAAATAATATTACCTTACTGGAACTTAATGACCTATTCACATGTTCATGTATAATGACACAATTCATTTCTATCCCCTAATAAAGATTAAATGGCATCCATTATTCTCTGGCACAAACCGAAACTTATTTTCCTAATTTAACATAATTCATTTACCAGGTAGAAACTTACGTCTACATAGTTCTTGAGTTATACTTTTGAGTCTGTAGTCATTATTGATAATGACCGACCAGTTCATTTTGTTCAAAACATACTTTAGTGAACTCAGACTTGCAGTGGAGAAAAACAATTTGCTGTTATACACAAAATTACACAGTAGCTTAGCAAAATATGAAAATCATTCATTAAATACATCATTTGCATATCCTCCTTCAGTTGTCTTTTACATACTTCATCACTCTTCCGATCATGTTGTTATTCCGGTTACTCTTCTTTTTCCTTCCTCTTCTCTTTTTTCATTTTTCTTATGGTAATCATTCTGCTCCCAATTCCTGCTACATACTACTTATATCTGTCCACATAAGTAGTGCACACCACCATACAACTTATAGAATAACAGTTCAGTCATTTGGCCACTAAACGATTACGCTTTAATCACTTAGAATTATCTCTAGTATATAAATTCAATATTTACAAAATGAGAAACAAAGAAAGCTTACATATATTCAAAAGCATCTACAATAAACTTATCAGAATAGATGAATTGTGGCAAGCAGTGGAATCCATGATGCGCATGTCATTCTATCGGAGTGCTTGTCATTCAGATGTAACTGCACTCCAGTGTTCATGTCTATGTTCAAACGACCAATACATTTTCCACTTAGCTACTGAGTTCAGATAACCACTAATCGACTTTTTTATAAAAACTGAAAATGTTCTATTTAAATTAACGACAACTTATTCACTATCATCATTTCTCTCACTCCTCTCTCCTTCTAGTTTTCTCTTCTCCTCTTTTCATTGAAATAAAATTAAAGTAGAGTTTTACTCCCTTTCCCACTCCACAGACACACGTACACCCACCAACACCACTTTAATTATTAACCAAAACTTAATATTGTACTGTAATACTAATAACTTTTCAATAACAAGAACAAACAAAATACATTCAATCAACTAATCTTATATTTAAATTAAGTGGATAGGACACCCGGACGGCCTGCTTGAATATCTGGGCTACCTATTCCTGCCATCTAGATATTTCAACAATATGTCAATTAATGACATAACCTACTCAGGTGTGTTTATGAAAAGTTTACGACCTTTCGCTGCAGAAGTTACAAAAATCTACAATCAGAGACATCGTGATGACTGCCAATGTACATTGAAAAGAATGAATATTATTCAGATGTCGACTTCTGAAATCCTAATATCCAACTAGCGACCATTCGATATTTATCGTCAATGTCGATCAAACAATAAGAAACGGAAGCTCGCTGAAATGCTTTGTGCTGATAATTCTATATTGTACCAAAAATATAATGTTGAATAAAGCTAATAATAATAAATCTAATGATTGAAAATTATTGAGGCTTTTTATACGCCATAGTATTGGCTGTTGATCGGTTGATCAGATATTTTTAAAACAAATTATTATCGATCATTATTGAAAATTGAATAGAAATTAAATACTATATATATAGTATTTCTTCGGTCGCACCACCTCTAAATTGTAAGCTAATAAACATGGATTTCTTGTTTTCTGTTTGTATTTTGCCTATTCTAACCTTTGGGGTTATATATTTGTTTATAGACTCCTTATGGTATCTCTTTTCCCCAATAGTATTACGCAGTGTTTAGCCCTTCTTCAACTATATCACTTGAACATATAGTGTGTATTCGATAACTAAGAGTTTTTATCAGGTTTCTTTTGTACTGTGGAGGTACGAAGATAAGGAAATGTGTATACTGCTCTATCCTGATATTTTTTCTGTTTAACTTCCCTATTGATCCCTCAGCTTTTTTGTTAATAGAACGTTCAAGAAGGCTAGTCCACCTTCACTTTCTTTAAACGTAAACTTATTGGCTGGGTATGCTTTATTGAATTTCCTAAGAACCTTCAGTAGTGATGTAATATCATTACATAGGATGTACGTGTCGCCCATATATTGACAGTAAGTGCGAATTTTTGAATAAACTATCAAAGTCAGTTATTTCCTAGTTTAGCTAGGAAAATGACAGTTAGTATAAACCTGATGAAATTGATTGTCGGTCTTGAGTTTCTTTAACGATCTGGTCAGATAATTCTCTATCTTATTCAGATCTGATGAACACCCAGCGTGGCTAAGCAAAGGTGTAGTCAAGACAGTAAACAGCTCAATACCATCCCATTTAGTTCAAACTGGTCATAGCACCAGTACAAGTCAATATTTCTCAATAATTTATTGGGTTAGCAACCTTTTACAAAAATCGATCCGACTCAAAGTACACCGATACACTAAAATCCATAGACGCAAGCAAAATTATAGAAGCTCCACAATAACTTATCTAGTAAATATGCTGTGCAATGAACTGGTTGTAAGGGCTGATCTTGTTAAAAACTTGTATTCTTGAACACTGTCAATCAGAAATTGTATAGATTCTTATATTTAAAAAGAACAATACAGTTTATTTACTTATTTCATGTGTGTATTCATGAAGTTATCGATTGCTTTGTTTTTGTGAGAGAGACCTGCTGAAATCCCGTTTGTTGGGAATTCCATATTGTACTAAACCTATGGTATCAAATAAAGCTATTAGGATCAAAATACTGGAAGTATGTGTAAAAAGGAAATATATTCAACCCCTTCTCTTACCTTGGTCAATCTCGCGGTCAATAAATCAAAAGATTTTTCTCAGTTGAACTCACGAATCAATCTAAGCTAGACCAACATTGAGAACCTGGAAGCACTGGACGGCCGTTACGTCCTATTATGGGACTCCTCAGCGGTGCGCATCGGCGATCTCGTGTGTGGGATTCGAAGGTGTATAGAAAAAAAGATAGAAGAAAATCACAAGATTAAAACCATGGTACAAAAAGAGGTTGTACCAGTTTCTTTGGGACACATAATTCTGGTTTCTTCGAGATGTATGGCTAATGCTAACGTAATATATGACGTAGCTATATTCATATTTTTTCCAAATAATTAATTCTACTCCTTCCATAATATGAATAGTTTTAAAGAATTTGTATGACAAACGAATCCCGGTAGTATTTAGAAATGAATTTGTTATCTCACCTTAATATTCCATTTTACGTGAGGTTGTAGCCAGATGAATTTAGTTTAGTCAAAAGAATCATTTCCGCTGATTCCCAATTGTACATGAATATCTATCATTTGTTGAAAGGTTAAAGCTGTAATTTATTCGTAAAATATCTGACTGATTTGTCAGTGTTGACAAATGGATGAATGTTTATGACTGAAGTGTGATTCAGACCTGATTGTTTAAACTTGCACTCAATCAGTAAGTCCTCAATCGTTCCTCCCTCGACGGGAGGAAATGTCTAAGAATCGCCTCCTTGATACGATCGTAAACGTTAGGTATGTTCAGGTTGAGGACAACCTCACGAACAGCAGCTATGTGATCCCCAGGTAGCGCTTCCAGAGCGTAAGCATACTTCTGTCGATGATTCGTTATGCGGCGAATCTCGAACTGAGATTCCAGTGCCGCGAACCAAACTTCTGGATCATGGGGAATAAAGGAGACAGGTCGAAAATTAATGATCTGTACATCTGAGTCTATTATATTAATGTCACTCTTATCGTTATCCACCATATCAAGTTGTTGCCCGGATATTATATATTGAAAAATATCAATACGAAAATGTGCAATAAAAGTGGATAGATAGTCGACTCACCGTAGTGGTCTTCTTTAGGAAGTTTTCCAGAGGTTGAAACGTGTTCGCGGTTTTGGCTCACCAAATGTAGTATGGCGTCGAGTCGCGATTGACTATGATCACCACTACAGGAAGATTACGTGCCAGTTATTAGGTTGGGTCCCTCCGTAGGCCAAAAACCAGAAGGCAGTTGACGATTGTAATAAGATATATTTAATGGCAATCTCGTGGTATCGAAATAATCCCGATATCGTGCCAAAGTTTACAATCGGAACTACTAAGCGTGCGCGAGTCCGTGCAGGGTTACATTCAACGGAAGAATGTGTGTTTTTAGTACACTTAAACAAACAGGTACAGTAAAACAATCACTGGTACAATCGGTTATAATAATAATTGTTTCCATTATACCAATCGCGTTCTTTTCATAAAAGTAGGTTACTACATATGTATGATGGAATACTGAGGTTGAAGGTCGAAGGGAAGTTTGATGAATTTATCCATCTGATCTATATCACCCAAATTCTCTACAAATCTGTAAATGAGTTAATTTTTAAGTAGCTATTTTACTTCATTCGTAACCTGGTTAATCTATTTTCATATTGATATAAAATTCCTTGGTTCAATGTTTTCCTCTTTCCCTTCCTGTAATTGTTCTTTTCACGATATTTTTTCGTTTCTTAATCAATTCCCTCTTCATCCAAATTTTCACGTTTGTTGTACTACTGACTTAGTTCAAGCAATATATGTTAGCTTTATATACATCAGATATAGTGTACACTCAATATTAAAGAATACGACCAATATTATTCAGTAAAAGCTACATTTATAAGGCGATCATTCACAAAAGTTTATTTTCGAAATTTCTCACCCGTAATTTGTCATTTTTAAAAAGACTAACAATTATGTCAAACACTGCAAAAAATCTACCATTTAATTTAAACTGTAATGGTTTGAACTATCCTATTATTAACATTTTGACTGAACGTCGACTGGTCTTAATTGACATATGTGTATCGTGTACGGATTGTTTCAATTTAGCCATTCTGGCACAAGTTTATCTAGAATATATGGTATGTGGCTAGCATTGGAATCCAGAACTCACGCTTCGTCCTGTTTAGAACTATAGGATGCAGGCACATCCGGCTGACGAGTCCCGAATAGGACGAGACGCGGATCTGGAACTCCACAGCTGGCAACATTCCATATATATTGTTGAATATTACTAGAAACTTACCTTAATTTGAAGGGAAAGCGACCATTATTCATTTATTTACATGTCCTAATAATCATTCATATAAGAACTATTATTTTAAAATACGTTAGATTTTCTCTTTTGTGCATTTAGAAAAATCCACCGAAATTGTTATTACCTACCTTTTTCATACTCTCCAATTTGAATCACTCAGTTGCAGAATTCATTAATAAGAGGAGTTCACTTTACACTAATATAACCGATCACCTTCGTTTTAAACAATTACACAAATAACCGTTAACAACCATCAAATATTTTAACGTCTACTAGTCCATACAGCTTCTATCTCTAATGATCAATCAGAATATAAACTCAACAAGTTAATTTACCTTCTATTGCTCTTGATATTTTAACCTAAAAATTCATATGATAATATACACTAATTACAAAAGCACAATACACCGTATATAAAAAATTTCAATCTGTACATAACTAGGTCATTTATAATACAACATTGAATGATTACTGCATCATTGATTAGCGTTAATTCTCTTTTTCTGAATTGTAAAACATCTATTAATAATTAATGATTTAAATGAAAGTTTACAATCACAGGGCAATAAAGAAAAGAACAACTATTAACTAATTGGGATCAATAAATCTAAATTAAAATTAATATCAAAACAAACGCTCTTGGAATAGTTTTCGACAATCTTACCTTCTTCAATTATTCTTTCATATCTAACAAAAACTAACAGCTCTTTTTTCTACTATTCAATTATGAACTCTGTATTTATTAGTTTATATTTGTTTCATTACATCAAAAATATCAAATTCGTTCCATTCATACCTCTCCTATACATACATTGTATTTCAAAAGTTTTTAACAGCAGTAATAACACTAGAAATACATTAGTATTTGTAGATTTAGATGAATTTATATTATTCTTACTGGTTGTTGTTAATCATGTGTGTGTTTGATTCAATTTGCAATGGTTTAAATTATCCCGTTGTTTATATTCTTGACTGAAATCTGATCAATCTTGGTTGGGATATGGGCATTCTGTACAGTTAGCCTCGATATAGTTCTTATAATGATAAGACGAAACGTACGTCCTAGATTCCAATGCTAGCTACACTTCATATAATCTATATAAATTTGTGTCATAATGGCTATATTGAGGCAATCCATATGGGGTGCCCATATACTGATCAAAATTCAACCAAAAATATTAACAACGGGATAATTTAAGCTATTTCAAATTGAATTAAAACTCATACTCGTTGAATAAGTGGATGGCTATATGAAATCAGTTGCTAAGTGGATAAGGCGATGGTGTTTGAAGCAAACGGTGCCGGATTCAAGTCATTGAGTAAACATCAACTCTGCGATGCGGGTTCATCCGACTGACGAATCCCAAACAGAACGAAGCGCTCGTCCTGGATTCCACTGCTAGCTACATTTTATCTAATCTTTGTACAATTTTATTTGATATATAATCTTGTCAATGGTAAGAAGTATATTTTTAGAGGTTGTAAATTAGACTAAATGATTTTGTATTGATGATACACATAGATCGTTTGACCACCTACCATGTATTTGTGATCAACGATTGTGGGAGCTTTGTAGTGTGTATTCATCACAAATCGATCTCATTTGCGGTGCCATTAAAGGGTAGGAAGCACTAGACAGCTGTTCTGCTCCAATGTGGGGCTTCTCAACAGTAGGTATTCAGGACTGTGAGGGAGGTCCAGGGATCGAACCCAGGACATTCAGGTCTGGCGACGAATACCTATTCATTTGGATAACTAAGTTGGTACCCAACGGTATAATTGTAACTTCGGTCAATTTTCGATATAGCCCGATAATTATGGATAGCTTGGTCGTTATGGTTGGAAACCAGTTTCAGTGACACTGAAGTGTTCATTAAATTATAGACAAAATATAGATAAAAAGATTCTAAAAATGATGAACAACCAACTTTTTGATAAACCTGTCGTCATCTTTCTTCCGTTCAAGGGAAATGAGATTTCAGGAACAATCGATGTGCGAATCAAGGCAGCACTGAAAAGAAGCTTCCCTGCCGCTCAATTAACTTCACTGTACAAAACCAAGTGTTCGTCATATAATTCAAGGCAGATCAATACCCTCCTCACACAAATCGAATGATTTATGTGGCGCATATCTATTTGGTGCTCCCTTGTACCAATGTTTATGTGTTTGAATAAATAAATTCGTAGTATGTTTCACGTGGATTCACATAATATTCTTTTGTAAAGTATTGTAGTGTCTAGTACCATATCAAGCCCACATGGGTTATTCTAGCTTCCGAACGGACCAATTTATCCATTCTTCTTGAGTTACATTTTGACGTTTTCAATTATTCGCTTATTAACGTTGACTGTTTTTATATGAGTACATTTTTGTGCATTGCTTATCCTACCTATCAAACGTCCGTAGCTTATTTTTGTCTGATTATAAATACCGAGTCACCCGGTCAAATCGAGTTGACCTTCTCCGCTTCTTATTCTGAATGCCTGCCTGGGTAAACGAGTGCCTGAAATGAATTCATCCAACGCAACCCGGATTTGGTTTCTTATTATCGCCGTCACACAAACGAGGTTAGTCTAGGTAATATACGGAGTTAAGTGGAAGATTTATGTTCATAAGATCTTCGTACTATCAAAGCGCAGTCAGATACCAGGTTACAAAAGTATATTTCTCTTTTTTTTCCTGATAATTAGAATCTTTATGCTGCCAAAATCGACCTTATTTCAATTTCTCAAATAATGCTAGTGAAAATGATAATCAATCCGAATCGATGAAACCTTGTGCTGATGAAAGTAAAGATGATCCCGCAGAAGAATCGGACTCATCAACATCTTCATACAGTTGTCCATTTGCTCAATCTGTTATCGATGCAAATCAAAGTTGTGATTGGAACAATGAAGCCCTTAGTATGCGTAATTATGATTCCGAAATCATTGAGTAGGTTTCATGTTTGCTAGTAAACTGCAAAGTTCAATTTGTTTATTATGTTTGTGACCGATTTTTTTTATGAACCTACTAGATAGTATTACAACAGGTGAATAATTTGTATACTTTTTCTGCAAGTTAATGTTACTTTTAATTTATTAGAATAGCACTGTGGTTCAGACTAGTCTTTCTTTTAGGCATTTGTTTTAAATGAATCAGCGGAAACTTCACAAAGACAAACTATGCAACTATCTTCATAGATTACACTAGACATCTTGATCTCAGCTAAATAACTGAAAACTAGCAAACAATGGAGATCTGTTTCGTCTCAGCATGTATGGGGCTTGTCAAAAATGCATATCCATGACCCGACTGAGGGTCGAACTCTAAACCTTCGGTTTCGCTGAGAGCTCTTGAAGGTTTAAATTATCTGAAAATAGTATTGACATATTAGGTAGGGTTTCTTTGACTTTGTTATTTTCCTTTACCATTGTGGTTGATGACTTTGTAGAAGCAATCGTTTTTGTGAGAGTGGTTAGTCAGAACCTGAACAGTTGATTACTTGCATGTATCACTTTGACGCCTAATAATACAGATTTTATTCTCTGACGTTATATTAAATTCCAAAACATCTCAAGTACTGACTGATATGACGAACAATATCTGATCCTGTTAGTTAAGCTTTAGTGTAACAGGTTTACAAATTACGTTCAAAACTCATATCTAACATTCATTAACATTTTAAACGAGCCTATTGGTGTTTATCTTGTGTAAAACATGCTGTATATAAGTGTGTGATTCTGTCACATAAAATGTCATTTCTACCGATAAATTATTCTGCTTTCTAATATTGGCTCATCGGAGCACTGAGCTAATAATTCAGGTTTGTGATCAGTTATTACTCGATCACTAGCATTTCGGGAGACCAGTCTCTCAATCGACACAAGTTATGCAAATTCTCCTTCGTGTTATAACACGTACAATTCGCGTAGAAGTGGCAATGAATACGAAACCTTGGTTCTGTTCTCTTTTTCAATAAATTATAACCGTACAGCCTCCCTATAGAAAATATGCTGTATATTCTTCCTACTTTACGAAAAACTTTCTGTTTTCCTGCAGAGTGTATATTAGTCAATAAGTCACTCATAATCAGCGTATTCTGGTTAGTGTTTTTTTTAGCAAGTTTGTTTTCTACAAGATGGAGTTGTTGACCCCAGCCCTCTCCCTTTACCCGGGTTAAGACCAGCAGTAACCCTAGAAGAGCTATAGAAGGGGTTATAATTAACGTATGACTTGGTACAAATGTGCGGCACAACAACTTATACGATGCGTAAAACCTGGTACGTATTTTCATCGGTCCAAGTTACTTTATCCCATCAGCATAGTGGGATGAAACCATGAAGACAATTCCCATATTAGTAAAAATAATAATTTCGAAACTCAAAATCCAAACTAAGATCAATAGTGAATGCACCTACACCATTGCAACGATTTTAATTCATATCATCCAGTATCTCCAACTATTAATTACGACAATCTCTCAGACCCTAATCATCAAGTGATCTGAACCGATCAGCGATACATCAACACAGTAAGAGAAAATGGACGAGATAAATAAAAGGGTAGTATGTGATGAAATATCAATAATGGTTGATTGCATAACTTGAAAATGAATTCACCCTATAAATCCTGGCCAAATGTAAATCATTCCTTAAATAAGCTTCTTGCATCCAACTGAAGTGAGAGAAAGAAAAAAAGTCGACTACATACTAACGCTGTTACCCGGTTGACGTAATAAGTTAACAGTAATTAATGTTGTCATCTTACAGTACATATTTCCATGACTTGTGCAACATTCCCTATATAAAAGTAATCACTATGTTGGCTAATTTATGATTAAATTTATACACCATCTATTTCTGATATAAAAATCACAGCTAAAATAATTAATTATAAATTGCCCTTAGATGCCCTGGTATGGCCGTGGGTGGGGTGGGCGCGCCCTTCCTCTCGAAATACTCTCACACGGCCACGCGTATACAGCCTCTTCCAGAGAAGTCCTACTCACTGCCTTCTCGTGGCATTACTGTTTACGAAATTGAGAGGACGAAAAGCAAATACCCGGCGCTTTAACCGGATTCCAAACCAATGGTGTACATGGGCTCCAGTATCCTGCAGGAACAAATGGCGTATGAACCAATCGTTGGTCACCGGCTATCATGGGACTGCATCTCCTCACGATGCTCCACTGCCTTGTGAGTCAGGCCTTTAGGTCAAAGGCTAGGGGTGTGGCCCCCTGAGAAAACCGTCTGTTTCGGTCTGGGCACCCGAACAGTATCCCAGCCCTCACACAAATCGAATAATTTATGTGGCGCATATCTATTTGGTGCTCCCTTGTGCCAATGTTTATGTGCTTAAATAAATAATATAAAAATTATAAATTATTTAGTTTTTATGGGATTTATTTACAAGATTGAAATATTACTAATATGTTCGAATATCTAGATATTTCAAGTTTATTAGTAAAAAGTAAATAATCTAGTCATTTCTGGCTCATAATGATGTCTATCACGAAGGCAGTCATATTCCCTTCAAGATTCAAATATATCTCATTAATTTCCACGTCTAGAAATATTACCACTAAACAAATAGTTTTATTTGGAATCGAATAATTTTAATGAATTCGTCACTGGTAAAAATGAGCTTACTAAACATTCTAAATATAATATGATAATATTTAACGGTTCGAAACCCTATACCTTTCTGTTGCGTGACTTCGAATATTTCATACTGATAAAATATTCGTCATCATGTATGTATCGAGAATCCAGCTACGTTGTTTATACAGCATTTCAGAAAATTAATTCTGGCATTCGTCATAGCAAGCTTGACAGAAAAAAAACTGAGAAACCTGCTGAGTTTTTTTAGTGTCACTGGATCCGTGCAACTTTTTTTATTCAATGACACAATGGGTTATTTTAATTAGCCGAAAAGTTGCAAGGATATTGTGACAGTGAAGGAACTCAATGGGTTTCTCAGTTTTTTTCTGTCAAGCTTTCTATAGCGAACGCCAGAATCAATTTTCTGAAATATTGAATTCTCTTTATTTTTATTCAGTGACACAATGGTTTATCATGAAATAATATTCTAACTGATTCTTGTTTGTTTGTTTTTTATTTCGTGTATTATTTACTTAACATCGTATTTTGTAAAATTTTAGTTTACGATCTCAACTTCAATTACCTGTTACCAGAGAAGTGGATGATAGTTGTATAGAAATAGTTTTACCTCCAACTTTCACTAGTTCAATACTTACTAATACTCAATCAAATGAGTCAAATGTATTATCTACATCCACTGTAATTAATTCACATCATTCTTCATCAATTTTTGACGATAACAAGATTTCCATTCCTGTTGATGATAATACTCATAAAGATTGTCAAGGAAACCAACTTCCTATGGATCAAACGAATCAATACAATGATAATCAAACTAATAGCACTACTATTGCCTCTCCTGTCGTTGCTTCTGTACATGTTAAATCTTCATCCTCCTCAACAAATTCACCTTCATCAAATTGGAGACCATTATTGCTATTTGTTCCTCTTCGACTTGGATTACATAATCCTAATCCGTGTTATTTCAATGCAATCAAAGTACGAAAAATAGTATCTTTTTGTATTTTCACTAATTCAATATTATATACTCTTTAACATCTTTTGTCGAAACTATTGGTATAATTGTTTTGATTTACTAATAAATGGAGTTTAATACAATCAATATCTTTGTGAACGACATTATGAGTTCAACACACAAATACAGTTTTGAGGATCAATAGTACTTTTTATTCTAGACAAACTGAGATGGGTGATGTCATATTCCAATTGAGATTAAGTATCACTTGTCAAAAGATAACTGTCCATCTTCAATTGGGCTCAGTTTTGATCATCCGGGCTCATAAAAAAAGTTGCACATAAATAACCACAGATAGTAATCAACTTGACTACATAGTCACTAAAATCATGTAGTCCATGGTCATTTAAACCCGAACTGGAACTGTGTTATACCCAAGAAAACTAAACATGATTGTCAGTTCAGCGCTGCAAACATACCTATGCATAGATAAAATATTCATAATTAGCACAAGCGTATTCTGTCACATTTTCTAGATTATTATGCGAATTTACAACTTTATCATCCCATATATTTCTTTTTATAATCGAATATTCTTCAAATAATTTTATTAAAGTTGTCATTATGAAATAACTTATCAAGTCAAGTATTGTTCTCCCAACCCTACGAACCGTTGAAATTATCTGTACTGAAATAATCGAGCGCCTTCCCCGTTCACTAGAAACAGAATTACTCAAGTAATACTTTGATACAATGGGCCAATCAGAAATCACCAAATGTGCAAATGCATGTGATTGGCCAACTGATGGCTTTATTTTGCAAGGGACAAGATATAAACTGCTAAAAGGTTTAATAGCATGATATATATAAATCAGTGTACATTTATTTATTGATTCAGTTAGCCAAATTATCTTCCTCACTATTCATTCCCTCTCTTGTGTGTGTGCAGGCTTGAGCATGAGAAGATCGCGTAACGGTATCAGCTCTCGGACACTGCACGTCATAACATATTATACTTTTATTCATAATGTTTGAAAGTTTAAGTGACATAAAGAAGAGCCGATAATATCAGCTATTAGTTGTGTGATTTTTAACACTTTCTTTGTATGGAATGTACACAGGGTTAATGTTATGACTGTGAATGCAGATTAGATGGCAGTGAATTATCGATCGGACCAAAGACGCGTAAACACGTAAGAACGGCCTAGAGTTCTGATTGGTCCCGCTTCCCTGTCTAGCCCAGCCAGTTGAGTCCAGAACGCAAGTCTCAGCCTCTGAGATATGAATCACTATACTTCAAGCATACTGAGTTTATATACCAATCAAACCGACCACAACGTACGAATACAATATGAAACCACATCTGTACAAGAATTAGCCAGATGTGGTTGTGAATGAGGGAGGTAGCGATTAACAGACAGGGAATATGTTCATGAATGGTAAATCGTATGATAATAGTTCATAGGTCAAAATAAAGCTCACAATAAGAGGGACATGAATATAAATAGTTTAGTTACATAACAATTATACGGTAAAAATATACTCATAATATTGGTCCATAAATGGATCCCAAAAATTACCATTCATCATTCTTATCGGGATACAACAGTTAAGTTTACAAATAGGTGTTTATCTTAGATATAAAAATATGACTTTCCTATTGTTTATTGACATTTATCATCTGTCGTTTATATATTGAAGTTAGATAGTTTTACATTGACTGTTTATTCATTCATGCATACCAAGTGTTATCATCTTTACTCTTGACTAACAATTTTCTTTTTAAAATAACTTTTTATAGGCTGTATTTCGTTTGCCAAATTGTGTCGGAATATTAGGCGGTTCACCATGTCATGCTGTCTGGATTGTAGGTGTTACTGATGATGATGTAATCTGTTTAGATCCGCATACTACTCAACCCGCTGGTCGCGGTAATTTAAAACCAGATTATGATCAAACATATCATTGTGATAATCCTATACGTATCCCGCTTAAACGATTAGATCCAAGCATGGTATTAGGTTTTTTATGCTCAACTGAAAAAGAATTTGATGATTTATGTCATAATTTAAAAGAAGAAGTTCTACATCCCTCAGTGGCTAATTCATGGCCTCTAGTAGAAATTCATACAACAAGACCGTCTAACCTACCACCACTTCCTTCATCCAGTATTCCAAATGATCTATTAATTTCTGTATATCCTTCAGATCAGGATAATCTTGGTTGTGGTGTTGATGAGAATGCAGATAATTCAATTCACAATGCTAATAATAAAGATGATGAACATGAAGGTAAACTAAGTGAAGCAATGGGTGCAGTAAAAGCTTTATGGTCTAAATGTAATCAAGTAGCTGGCGATACTGTTCGTAGTTTAGCAAATGTACCACAACGATTTGTAAAAAGTATGTTGCTTTTATAACTACTTTCTATTATTCAAAATAAAAATATTCAACACCTAAAGGTTTATTCAATTCATCAGTCTTGTTACATTTATATGTTGAAGCTGTCACCATATTTATAGATTAGTGGATGGTACACATTAGTGACGAATTGCCTTGTATTTCTAATCATTAACTTTTCACTCAAATTATCGTGTTTTGTTTTATCAGTCTTAGTCTTTCTATCCTACTCGTTGTGGGCAATAACTAATTAGACATTACATCAAGGTATAGCAGCTTAGTTCTCCTAAATACTTATTATACTACTTAGAAATAATATATACATGGTCTATGTTCTTAATAACGTTCCCTCAGTTCGGTACTAATAATTATCATATGGTCCATGTATCAATCATCACTATGTTTCTCTGAAGTCTGTTTGTTAACAGTTGCATGTGGCCTGTAAATTTTTCATTATGCAATACTACATATCATTTGGAATATATATTATTATTAACTCGTACAAGCGAATATAATAACAATTTTAAAATATTGAGAAAAATATATAACGTTTATGTTGACAATATGAGACTTGTGTCTAACCGATGTCGTTATTGTTGTCATTGTTTTGTATTGTTGTTTATTAGGTGAATATGTTTTGACTGGTATTTTGTTGAATACAGCACATAAGATAAAATGTGTGAAATGATATTACACTCAAAATTTAGAGTAAGATAAGTAGTATCAGCTAGAAGCGGCCAAACAAATCATATAACATCAGTTCATGAAATTACTGACTGTTGACCTAAGCCATATTGGTAGATGCAAACTACTTTGTTGTCATCCACTAAATAATTACAATCTTACTGACTTTACTTACGCCTGTCGCCCCTCGTGGAGGAATATAGGTAGCCCACCAGCATTTACCATTCAACTTTGTCCTGAACAATTCTTTTCATGTCTGCTTCCAATTCTTGGCGTAGTGTGTTCTATAACCTTCCTATTTTCCGCTTCCCTTCACGATTCCAAGTTAGCGCTTGCCTCATGATGCAGTTTGATGATCTCAACGTGTGTCCTATCCACTTCCAACGTCTTTTCCTAATTTCCTCCTCAGCTGGAAGCTAGTTTTTCCTCTCCAACAGTACACTGTTGCTGATGGTATCCGGCCAGCAGACATTCAGCATCTTGTGTAGGCAATTATTTATAAATACTTTTACAGATTTGATGATGGCTGCGGTAGCTTTGGGAGTTCCAACTCTGCACAGTAGAATTGTCTTGACGTTCGTATTGAAGATTGTGACTTTGATATTGGTTGACAATTTTTTTGAGTTGCATATGTTGTTCAACTGTAGGAATGCTGTCCTTGATTCGCCAATCTTTATCTTTACGTCTGCATCATCGATGATGCTACACAAGTACGTGAAAGATTCCACCTCTTCCAGAGTTTCTTTATCAAGTGTGATTGAGTTGGTGTTCTCTGTGTTGTATTTGAGGATGTTGCTTATTTTCTTGTGTATGTTGAGACATACTGATGCAGATGATTCCGCTACACTGTTTGTTTTGACCTGCATTTGTTGATGTGTATGAGATAAAAGGGTCAGGTCATTTGGAAGTTCAAATCGTCTGGTTGCATCCAACTTGTCCATTGTATTCCGTTCTCCCCCTCAGCTGTAAAAGTCTTCAGAATCTAGTCAACCATCAGAAGAAATGCGAGAGTAAGCAACTTTGTCTGACACCGGTCCCTACTTGCAGTTCATATGTCAGTTATCATCCATGCACGACTTTGCACTGTAGTTTGTCGTATGAATTCCGTTTGATGTTGACGATCTTCTCGGATATACCTTAGTGTCGAAGAAGGTCCCATAAGGTCCTATGCGCATAAATAACTACAATCAGTGGTTGATAATTTGAGGTGATATGGGTCACAGTTGATGACACAGGTCCTGGTACATTCATTCTTTGTCTTCTTCTTCATCTTAAGTTTCAGTATTCCTTCATATATTTTCTTCATTGTCTTCTTGAACCATACTCTAAATGTCTAGTTTTTCTCAGTATTGTTGCTACCATATTGCTTCAAGTGTTTTCCTATTCCTGTTTTTTTTTCATCTGATCGTGATGATGTGATATAGCAACTTGAACTTAAATTTTTGACATGCTCTACTTCTGATACTCCCTGATGGATTCCTGTCGACTTCTTCCAACTGCCACCTTACATCTTAACATAGTTCACTTAATTTCAAGTCACTTAACCTAGTAGTCATATCGCAACTTGACCGATAGAATTCGACCAACACTAAGAAGGTCTTGACATGCATCATATTGATCACTACTCAGTAACAAATTCATTTTAAACAGGATCCTTTCACTTCTAGTTGACACTGGATTCCAAGCTGACCAATAATTGTTGGGATATGTAAATCGTGCGCGGATTACCTCGATATAACCATTTTATCACAAGTTTTATAGAATAGATGAGTTTTTACTATCACTAGAATCATGGGAGCTCGTTTTGTATATATTTGGGACTCGTCAGCTGGACATATGCTTGCATCCAGTTGTTAATGTTTATACTGGGACTCGAACTCAGTACTCTTCACTTCAAATACCAACATATTATCCGGACGTTTTGTTACATATGTTTCTAGATTAGTTTTTTTATTTGGAATCGTACATCACATAATCGAACTGTATTTTATTTTCTCTTTCTCTTTATTAACAGGTCCTGAATATGAAGTTAGTTAGTTAAAATGGTCAATCTCAGTGTGTCGTTATGTATTATGAATAATTAATTATTATCCAATGTAGTTCTACTGGTTATTTGTTTGTTTGTTTTAAATGTCAAGTACACACAGTCAGAATTGATTAACAATATAGGGAAGAAGAAGAAAACAATTATTAAAAATTTATCTGTTTTATGAAATGTTTTCCTTTTGCACACGTACACATACACAGATACAGAGAGATTGAATGATGGCAGTTAATGTCTATACCAGAGACTACAATTATAATTACTAGTAGTATTACTATTATTTTTTGTTGTTGTTCTATTTTGTGTTTCTTCTGTCGGATTTTGAATTTCACTTTATATCTTTTGATAATTATTGACATAGTTTATATTTTTAAAAGAAAATTTAACATTTATTTACTGTGATTGTGTGGTGTTAATAGTCCGTTAGTCGACTGTAATGTCTACTTGTCTTGGTAATAACAACAATTATCACTATTATTGTTATTATTACTGATTGCGACCGTTGGTATGAATAACAGCAGTACTAGTAAGATACAACAACAATGATATTCTATGAATTCAACTGTAAATATCTTTCTTTTCCTTTCTATGAAGATTCTTCCCCATAAAACTAATGTCATTTAGGTGTGTGCGTGTGTGTATGTTTGTCTATATTTATCGGGATGAATAGAATCCGTGTTTGAATGATTGAAGTTGCTTTTCACAACAAAAATAATAAATATAACTGCCTCTTCTATTAAAAAGAAACACATACAATTTGATGTAATCAACCAATCAGTCCATTCACACACGTGCACACGGATACACACGAACGAAGTACGTGTACGTACTCCTTGTGACAACAAATATCTCCACTACTAATCAGTGTGATAAGATTTATATAACTATTATTATTATTATTATTATTCGTTGTACTAATGATAATTATCATAATTATAATTGTTCTACTTCTATAGAGGTGACAAATTTCACTTAAATCAGGTATTATTGTCCATTGCCAAATTTCTCTGTCATATCTCTTTATTTATTTGAACTATTAAATGATTATCAATCAACGATTTAACCTTATTGTTTCAATAATAATAAAATGGTATATTGCAAATAAGAGAACTTTTGTACAATTATTCACAATCGATAAGATTTCGTTGAGATCATGAACCGATCTCATTCAAACTACCGTTGGAGGCCTAGAATCTCTAGACAGCAGTTGGGTGCGAGACGGAATATTGTGGGTTTGATTAATGAGTGTGGGATCATGGATGCGACATTACTGAGAAGTCCTATACTATGATGTAATGGGCGTCCAATACTTGAATATTTCCAATGGTTGTTTCACTTAGATCGGTTCATGATTTCGATGAAATTCAACATCCTCTATAACCCCTTACTAATAATCTATAAGATGTGTAGCCTTTATATTTTTTAAATGCATTAGTTTATAGGAAGTGGTCAGCATATATACTGTCCAATGATAAAGATTACAGAGAAATATAACAGAACAGGAACTCGACAAATAGGCAAACTTCTACTTATGTTGAATAACCAAGCTTTGACTAGATTGGCGCCTTAGTATTTACTGTAGGGTTATGACTCTCAGCATTTGTAAAGCTTATGTGGCTCATGTCAAAGGTCACTCTACTTTTACAGTAGTATGTCATATTTTTAGCTAATGTTTAACACCTGCTAGTCAACAGTATGATGACATGTGTATAGTTTCATCTTGCAACTATTTCTAATCTAGACTTTCCTCAGTCGGTAGTTCTGTTGCAGACTGGTAGTAGTTTCAAGTTACTTATTACTCCAGAATGTTCTGTTCTCATTTTCAACACCTGCATTAAGTATACCAATTGTAGGCCAGCACATAGTGCTATAGATGATATAGATATTTGGATACTGAATAAGTCTTCCCTACTGTTATTATTATTCTATCAGTGATCAGTCATTAAGGATTTACACAACTACTGCCTCTAAGCTGCTTTTGCTCAATATTTATCGCCAGGACCGACCAAGAAGAAAGAAACGGAAACTTGTTGAAATACTTTGAGCTGAGAATTCTATATTGTACCAAAATTATAATATTGAATAAAGCTAATAATAATAATATAATATATAATTTTACCTGTAGACGGTTTAAAATAAACTTATAAACATCAATCGCTTATTATGTTAACACCGGGAACAAGCAGTATTTAGCGACTTTCGATTTCAGATTGCTAACTCTTTATCATTATTTCAACAGTAAACCAAATACTTTACTGGACTAAGCTAGAAAAAGAGTTGGTTAGTGCTTCAGTAACTCTCCTGTCTATTTTCGACTGGAAAACTAATTTTCTCTTTTAATTATCAAGCATTCAAACTTTCCATCTGTTTACACGCACACTTACAAGAACATAAAAAAGGATTTCTGTCCATTGTTAGGTTGATTTCAATGACCACCGGATCTGACAATGTTTTATGAATTAATGTAGTGTTGGCTTGAAGCAAATGATTACATAACTAGACGCAAAAAAGGATCACGCACGTTTTCATAGAGTTTTGAAGGTAAACTCATAATTAGATTCACCTACTTACGTGATTTGTCGGAGGCAAGATTGATACCTATTGGTTAGGCATATTCTTGACTTTGTTCAAACCTCGGGTAGTAAGTTTGTGACTGAGAACTACGAATATTGTCGTATTTGACTGTTCTTTTGAATCTCGTGTTATACCTATAGAGTATGAGATTCGCAGTAGATAACTACGTTTAAAACTTATAAGCACATCCGAGAAACACTGTATCTTAGGATATCAGTTGTATAGCCCCGTTCGATTTGAAATACCCTTCAAAAGTTGAAGCTCTTGCATGAGGTTAACAGTGATTTTACCGTACTAGGGATGGTATTTTGTAGATTCAAGTTTGTGAGAACTGTGATCGACTTCATGAACATAGAGGACAGATGAAGGTGAATTTTGATGTGCATGAGAAATATGCTTCATTTGGTATGAGTAAACTGATGTTGCTTTCCAACACCTCACTACGCAAAAGTACCTGAATTAGATGTATTAATATTGTGTGACCTCACAGCTCAAAATGGACCTACTTGAGAGATGCTATACGCCGGTCTTTGATGTTAAAAATGTATGGGGAAACTAATTCTCCCAAAAATTCCTTATCGTCTGTGATGGAAAGCTTATGGCAAAATGGAATACATGGTTTCCCTTTCAATGGAATAACATCTAACATTTTTATAAACACGTTCTTATGGTAGACCCTGTTAAGTATCTTCTTAACTAACGATCGTATATCTGTTCATGTTCATATGTTAACAAGGCTGAATGGTTTCAAGGTGAGATAATCTTATTTCTTAGTTTCAAGTTACGCGTTCCATTATTTCTTATCCTTTACTTTTTCACTCTCTATTTTCGTTAACAACTAATCTATTTATGTTTTTTTCTTCCATGTTTACTAATGAATATACGGGATATGGTTAACTACACAATACTAAATTTCATTCCTATAAAATATCCAACATCCAATTTTCAATCCTTTTAATAAGCATTTTAAAAAATAATCAAGTCCAATTTCATAATACTTAACACTTCATTCTTAGATAATAGGATGAGAAGATAAAGTTTTGCATTACTATATGATAGATACATTAGCATAGTTCATTTCGAACAATCCCGACTCATATGACAAGTGACAAATTAGAACATAAATATAAACACAGATAATGAGGGAAAATCATATGAATTACATCCCTTCAGACAAGAATCAAATCGATATTTATTGAAGGTTATATTCACTAGGATTAACCATATTAACGTAAATGATACTGTAGTGAACAAGAACACGAGTGGGGACAATCGAATGTATTTGATAAGAAATTACAAAGCATCACTAAAATCTGAGAACCATATAGTAAATCGTTAATTTGCAAAAGATCAGTCCATTGTCTCAGATTTCATTGTTCATGCATTTTCATACCAATTGCTTTCCGGTTCCGTTCTTTCCCTTTCAATCTTCCACTGAAATACATTCTATGCCTGACCACCGTTTTATACTACTTATGTAGATATAAGTAACCCACACCACAATACTACTGAAGACAAGATTAGGCTTCTAAGTGGAAAACTGGTAAAGAATGGATATTAAAATCTATAAACGGATTGAAAAAATATATTATGTGGATAATTATTTTTTTGGGATCTAAAAAAGTATGTCTGCATGGTTCATTGGTTAGTCAAGTAACCATGTGTTGAAAAGAAGGCTAAATCGACTATCAATGCGACGTACTATACAACTATGGTCATTATCATTGAAAAACAAACAAACCTAGACAGCGGGTAGACAATTGCGTTAATTCTTAATGTCTTTACGAACTTACATGTATGTACAGCCATACATATATATATATTGAAGAGTGACTGTAATATCCAAATAAAAGTGGCTGGAAAAACAAATACATTTCAATGGCCCATTAAAAACAAATGATAAACATCAATCTTTCTCCACTGCAAATATAGTTGATACTGGCCATAGGATTAGTTTGCAGAAAAGTGATCTACGGTCAATACCTAGATTTGCTAAAACCCTATCCCTACGAAAACTCAATTCCATCTTTTTGTTACAAAAAGAATCTTTACTTGCATTAAACCTACCGTGATAATTTTAATTGATTTTACTATTCAAAATAGTATGATGCATATGCATTTTCATTATTATCTCTGCTCTTCCTTATTTTTTAATTTGTTTTGTACGAACCTCGTTCCTCCAATAAATATCCTAACAAACATTCGAGATTATTCGAAATGTGTTGTTACAGCGTAATCTTGAAATAAACTTCATTTTCTTAACCCCTGATCAAACGACTAAATTTAGAAAAGTTGGGTGGTGGCTAGCAGTGCAATCTAGGATGGGGATTTTGTCAGATGGGTATACATCACGGTGTTGATGTCTGCACCAGGAATAGAAGCCAATGCGTTTCAATCTAAACACGTAATTTGTTGTCCACTTAACTACTGATTTCAGATAACCACTGTCTTGTGAAACGAGATTACTTGAAATTATTCGTATCATCTTAGTGATAACACGAATGTTACTAGTTAGCTACTTTTTGTATTTGTGCATCCTTAGCGGATTGCCACGATATCACCTGATATCCACAGGTAATTTTGGTAAAATTCGATAGAGACCAGCATTGAAACTCAGGTTTGGGATATAGTCCCAATGTGAACAGACAAGTCCCAAATAGGACCAATCGCACATCGTATATGCAACTGGTAATCTGATTAAAATACTCATGAATGTCTGGTAATATCGAGGAGATCCTCCCAGGATGTACAAATGTTAAAAGTGACTGATCAATTACAGTCCTTAATAACATAAATAAACACCTACAAATTAAAAAGCATCCATTTTAGTCGCAACTGTCAATTAACATTTTATATCCTTATCACAACTATTTATTACACCAAACTGAACAAATTTCAAAACAAAACTACACAGATCACACATTTTAATAGTCATAACAAGAATGTAAATAATAATAATAATGATAATAATAATAATAATATTAGTAAATTATAATTAAAAACACTGAGTAACTTTTGTTAACGTATTGATTTGTTTATTTGATTTAGTTTGAGGCACATGATGAAACTATTTTGAACATTTTCCAATTACTTCTTCATTCGAACTCTTTTCTACACTGATTGATAATCGTTTTCGAAATCAACATCAATTGATGTTACTAGGGTTAATCGTTGTTGTCATAATGGTAATAATAATAACTGTCGTGTTAGTGTATGTATGTGTGTAGTATGTTTGTAGGTATGTATGTATGTATGTATGTATGTATGTAGACATAATAATAGAAGAATCACGATGAGTTGTCAAAAAAAAATAATCATAACAAACAAAATAATAATGGTAATAATAACCACAACGATAACAATAAAATGGAATCCCTCGTCACGAATGTATGGAACATTAAATCATTTACTGATTAGTGAGAGGATATATGTTTGTCTCTTCAATATGATCTTGTATAATGTTTAAGAGTTCACACATGCTTACGAGAAACAAATTGGAACAATTTAATGGAAAGATAGATAGAATCAAGTTTTTTTTTTCTATATTTTCATAAAGACAATTAAAAAAGAGGATAGTATGTTTCTAAGTGTGTTTTTGTTTGTCTGTAATTATTATCTTGATTTACATTCAACAATATCAAGGTACTACATACATTTTACACTTTTTTCTGATATGAATTACACTTTTTTAGTAAAAAAAAAAGAACAACCAAACATCAAAACAACATGATCACACCAAAAACAACAAAACAGAATCAAAGAAAGAATTCATTTTGTTTGTGTTTATTTTTCTTAATTAATGTGAAAGAATCATAATCCAAATTTGATTACATCATGATATCATAAGAAGAACTAAACATTGAAAACACAAGTTAGAGAACAATTAATGAGAAAGTAGATTGAGAATTATCGATTTTTCTTTTAAAACACAATGATTTGAAGAAGTCACATGGAAAGTCGAAATTATTGATCAGATTAATAAACACAATATAATGGTATTAATCTCTGTGTTAATATTCATTTGAATTCAATTCTATGTTGTTTTATGAATTTTTTTAATGGGGGGGGCGGGTATACGAAATGTATTTAGTTGTTTAAATGACTTATATGAATATAACGAATATAATGAGTGGATTTGTATGTGGGTTAATTATTGTAATACAAAATGTAATAATACTTATCTATTTCATATTATAATCCTTATCATCTTTATTATTGCAATAATGACTATCATCATGGATAATACATGTTAGATCATGCACACACACACACACACGCACAGATAAACAAAAGAATGAACAAAGAATCATTTGATGAATTAATTAACAAATAACTGAATAAATAATAGTGAATTGAGTAACGATATCTGTCAGTACTAATACTACGATCAGGAAATGAAATTTGGAATAAAAAATAACACACAAACATACAGATACACATAATCTGAAATAAAATGTTTGTATGATAAATAGATAGATAGACTTTCAAACCTAAGAAGTAACTAATAAAAGTGAACAAGTCACACAAAGAAAAAGAGAAAACACTCTTCTAGATTATCTCTAACACCTAACCCCTCATCGTTTCTATAGTTGTCATCAATAAAATCGAATAAAGAATTATATAATACTGATCAGTATAAATGGGTTTTTTTAGTTAAATTCTCGAATCCAAGGGTGTGAAAGACCCCAGGATAAGACTGACGAGTGATGATCAATATGAAAAATAATGAATTATGTTTGAGTGATAAATAACATGAATAAAGTTTCTCATTTAAGGGTTGTTTCCCTACCCCCCGCCCTAATTATTTGTCACTTTAAAATTTATTGATTTATTTATTTTATGCTTTGTAGGACCAAGAGGAATTAGTTGTACACGAAATAATTTGTCATTTGGTTTTCTCAACAACAACAAAAAATCAATACCTTAATTCGTTGTAATGGAACAGAAAAACAAAAACGTATCATTCACATTAATAGTTGCTTCTTATCATTTTCTTTTCTAACAGTCATACATCATTTTAAAAAAGACAAACAAGTGTAATTTGAAGAACAAAATTTAATAAAAGGCGAAATTGGTTATTGAATATGAGGAAAAAAGTGAAAAAACGAAAAAATAAAGAGAAAGAAGTAAGAAGAAAATAGTAACTAAGATAATATAATATTTACCCATCTGTTAATAAATAAAAACAACATATAAAATCATTCATAAATGTAAAACAATAAGTGATTAATTAGTGAATTATAAATAGACCATTCACATATATTTAAGAATATATCATAGAATAAAGTATAATATACTGTATGTGTATGCATAGATGTACGTGATTGGATAGAAACACATACATACATACATACACACAGAGAGAGAGAAATACATCAACAGCACACATAAAACTATCTGTGATATATGTAACGATGACTTTTAAAGAAAGGGAAAATATTAATTCGATAAATTAATGATTATTATAAAACTGAATAAATGAAACATTTAAACATGTATATTATATACATATACATTAGATATTTAATTATTCCTTATTCCTTATTTTATTTGAATTTAGTTACTATGAGTGTTTCAATGTTTAATTTGTTATTGAAAAAAATAAAATAAATAAATTTTTTAATTTTTTTTTAAAAAAAAGTTGTAAAATATATCATAAAACAATAAATGGATAAAGTAACAAATGCTTGAAGGTTTTTATTTTATTTTGTTTTTGGAATTGTTCAATAGTTTTTTTCTTAGCTCAATTCGTTTCTTCTTCTCTCTCTCTCTCTCTCTCTGTGTGTGTACATATGTGTGTTCAGTTCGTTTCCACCTTCTTTGGAATAAATAAATATCGTTGTATGTATATAGGTAAATAAATAAACAAATTAATAAATAAATAAATATAAATAATAATATTATTATAAATTAACCGTTGTAATTATAATTTTAATGGAAGATTCACTTCGGTCAATGAAATAAAAAAGGCGCATTTTTTTGTTGTTGTCGAAAAAAAAAGACAAACAAACATCAAATTAACTTGTTTAAATAAACCAGAACAAGTACACATACGCGCGCACACACATACGCACACGAACACAACAATAACAGTCAAGGAGAGGGAGAGCGTGAGCGTGCACACGATAGTGACTAAAACAAAACTTAAAAATTTTAATACTAAGAATTTTAAATGGTTACATAAACTAGAATCTCATTAGGAATATTATTACCGAGAGAGGGGGGGAAGTTTCTTTGGAAATAAAAATAATCAAAATTGAAAGAAAGAAAAAAAAAGAGAAGAAAAAGAGAATGTTTATTATAAATATTATTGTTGTACATCCTGTTTAGTTTAGTATTAATGAATCTTTTGTGAATATTGTTTAGGTTTAATTGATTAACAATTCATTGTAAAATGATGGGATTTTCAAAAAATGTATTTCTTTTTATCATTTCAATTATTTGTTTGTTTGCTTTTTAATTCATTATTGGTAAGAAAATGATGGTATTTCAATATGATCTATAAGAAATAAGGGGAAAATGATTATTGTTAATGATAAATTATAGATGTTATAACTTGATTAGTTTGAGAAAATACTGAAATGAACAATGAGATCAAACTGATCATTTTCCTGATTGAGAGTTATTTTACAAATCTTAACCAAATGACTATTTTTTTTTTCAAAAACGGAACCATTGGTCAATTTACTTAATATGTTAATGTCAATTTTTATTTGTCTACAAAGTTTTCAATCTGGATAGTGTAGCTAAAAATTACTATTCATCAGTTAAAAAAATATATCTCATTGAAATCATGGATTGATCTAAGTAAGATCACCATTGGAAACCTAAAAGCATTAAATGGGCGTTTTTACCTGGCATGGAACGCCTTAGAAATGTATATTCATGACCCGTCAAATGGAGATCAAACTCAGGTCATTTGGTTCGACGCATGAACACTAAACCTATAGACTGATTGATTGAAGCTAGAAATTAACACCATTGGATGTTGGCTCAATGGTTTAGATGTTAAGCGCTCGCGTGTGAGACCAAACTTCTTGGTCATACAAGTTCACACAAATACATATGGGCAAAGTACGTGCACTCCTTGTTTCACCAACTATCTCCAATACTAATCACTGTAATAACTAATATTCCTATGACTACTACTGTGATTATTAATATTATTCGTTGTACTAATGATAATTATCATAATTATAATTGTTCTACTTCTATAGAGGTGACAAATTTCACTTAAATCAGGTATTATTGTCCATTGCCAAATTTCTCTGTCATATCTCTTTATTTATTTGAACTATTAAATGATTATCAATGAACGATTTAACCTTATTGTTTCAATAATGATAAAATGTTATATTGCAAATAAGAGAACTTTTGTACAATTATTCACAATCGATAAGATTTCGTTGAGATCATGAACCGATCTCATTCAAACTACCGTTGGAGGCCTAGAATCTCTAGACAACAGTTGGATGCGAGACGGAATGTTGTGGGTTTGATTAATGAGTGTGGGATCATGGATGCGACATTACTGAGAAGTCCTATACTATGATGTAATGGGCGTCCAATACTTGAATATTTCCAATGGTTGTTTCACTTAGATCGGTTCATGATTTCAATGAAATTCAACAACCTGTACAACCCCTTACTGACAATAATAAATGTATTTCAAAAAATGGAAATGAGGGTCATAAAACAACCAATAATCTTTTACGTGTAACCATTCACAGACTAGAAAATAAGTATTATTGTTGTTTACTTCCCAATTATTTTATGGCAGCTTATTTAAGATAATAATCTGCTTTAGGCTCCTTTTTTAAAAACTACAGTATAGCAAGTTTGTTCCATTTTAGAAATCTTTATAAATAGTCACAATGGTATAAATCATTTAGTACAATTAATTCACTTCTTGGAACTAAATGTCACTTACTCTTCTCCCACTGATAAATCAGTTCATATACTTCAGACAATAAATAATAACACGAACACTTGTTTTAGGAACTATTAATATACGTATGTATATCTGGAACTCTTATAGGAGACCATAAGGTTCACAGTTATCATTTGAATAACATTTAATCCCCCTATCTAAACCAATCTTCTGCTGAAATCGCTATCATTTTTCAATGGGAGCGAACAGGCCAGCTTCCAGCTGAAGAGGAAATTAGTAAAAGACGATGGAATAGGATAGGACATACACTATACAAATCATCAAACTGCATCACGAGGCAAGCCCTAACTTGGAATCCTGAAGGGGAACGGAGAAGAGGAAGGCCAAATAACACATTACGTCGGGAAATAGAAGCAGATATGAAAAGGATGAATAACAACTGGGAAGAATTGGAAAGGAGTGCTCAGGACAGGGTTGGATGGAGATTGATGGTGGGCGGCCTATGCTCATCCACGAGGAGTAACAGGCGTAAGTAAGTTAGTAACAACATATAATAACGACGTTTACGCCCGTTCAACTTTGTTAAGATTAAAGTGTTTCGCTCATGCTGAAAGCTTTTACCGCCGAATATCTCTATATCAATGTAATAATTTTGATTAGAACCTCATAGTAAAGTTTTAATTATGATTTAATGTAAATATTTATATCAAAAAGTATAACTCTACGCTGAACTCTTAATATAAGGAATAGCATAGATTGGAATTGATTAACTATTCTATGGAATATTATATTTGCTTTCGATATCAATACTTGACATTATCATAAAATGAAATACATGATCTTTAATCAATATTGAATTTAGTGGTCTTAAACCAATCACAGTGCTGTGGTTTCATAAACCCCGAATTTCATTTCAGATTTCGGGTTTAGTGTCATCCCCTACTTTTTATTATTCGACCTCATTTATTCTTTTCAAAATGTTTTATTTTTGATCTGTAATCTACACCACAAAATAATTTTATGGAGATAACTATTGAACGTCGGAAAACATGAGACATATGTTTCGTCTTAATACTGAAGTACTCAACAGCGCGCTGCTAGGACTACGTTATGAATCGAATATAGGAACTTCAAGATGTACAACGAAAGTATGACAAATATTTCCAATATCAGTAACTTCATGAAGTTAGATAACTGACACCTACTGTCATCTTTGATATCTGTCTCACGTCAAATATAGTTAAAATTCCATCGATCATAACACCTCAATGGAAGTTTGTGGATTTCTCTCAAGGTCGCCCACTACTGAGTACATATTTAGCTTATCACTATGATCGAGATTATTTCCCCATACTGTTTCTTATCCAGTTTATTTATTGCTAGTTACTCTAACTTAGAGGTATATGAAAACTTCAACCGATAGATATTCTATAACAAGTTATCATGTATTATTATTATTATTACACTACTTTAACTTCGGTATAAAATTAAAATTTATGCCATAATATTGTTAATCCTCAAATAATCACTTACAAGGAGCTTGAAAATAACCTGTGTGGTCGGGTAATGCAACAGGAAAATGTGACGACAATGTATTATGCGGTCCAATAACTCGATTTGCCGCTGCAGCAGCGGCTGCTAACGACGCAGCTGCAGCTAATGATGCCGCTGTTAATGGAATCGGATTCCCATGTGCTCCTGCCGCTGCTGATGGTGGTGCTGGCTGTGGAGGTGGTAAACCCAAACCGATGGAATTTTGTTGTTGTGACTGTTGTTGTAAGCTGAAAAATGCTGCTGCCGCAGCTGCGGCAGCCGCTGCTGTTGCATTCATTGTATTATTATTATTTCCATTGGTACAATTACTCCCTGAACTACCCCCACCATTACTATTACAACCAGTAGCAGTCCCAATTCCAACACAATTATTAGTATTTGATACAGCAGAAGTAACACGTATTCCAGGTGATTGACTATGTTCTTTAATATTCCCTGTTTCATTAGTAGTTCCATTTATTAATCCTGTTGACCCATTCAACTTGTGATGATGATTATGATGATGTTGATTTTGTTGATGGTGATGATGATGACTGTGGTGATCATTTTGTGAATTTAATTTACCTCCATTTACTTGTGTTACTATTCCACATGGAGTATAAATTGATGAAAAATCAGTTTTAGTATCTGGTAGACTAGATCGTTTATTTGATAAACCATTTATTGTATTGTTAGTATTAAGTAGATGACGTGGTGTGTTAGTTGATATATGTGTTGGTAAATTTGGAACACCATGTAAACTTGTCATTCCATTAGCTGTAATTGCATTCAAATATGGACTGAATCCAATATTCTAAGAGATAAAATAATAAAGAATAAATATAAAAGTATAAAGTTATATTACTTATTATCAGTATAAAGGTTAGTCGAGATTATTTATGTCAACCCAGGACCTATCAGTCTCGCGCGCGAGCGTTTAACCATTAGACCACTGTTGGGTTCGAATCTCGGGAGGCGAGGTCGTGGATGCGCACCGCTGAGGAGTCCCAAAATAGGACGAAACGACCGTCCAGTGCTTCCAGGTTTTACATGGTGGTCCAGCTTCAATTGACTTATGATCTCAACGATTGAAATCACTATAATATCCACAAAAACCCTTCTCTGATTATATTTTTTTCTATTACACATATTATAATCTTAAAAATATTATTTTCTTCTAATAATCAATATGTTTCATATCACAGTGTTAAGGGGTTATTAATTTTTTTTACTACACTGCCTCCAAATGTCCTGGTAAGGCCGAGGGTGGGGAAAGTCAGCTGTCCCTCTCGAAATGCTCTCAAATGGCTACGTGCATATAACCACAGCCAGGGAACTCCTACTAACTGCCTTCTCGTGGCATTACTGTTGTTGAGAGGACGAAAAGCGAATATCCGGCGCTTTAATCAGGTTGGTGGACACGGAGTTGGAAAACCCTTATTCCAAACCAATGGTGCACATGGGTTACAGTGTCCCGAGGGAACAAATGGCGTATGAACCTATTGTTGGTCACTGGCTACCATGGGACTGCTTCTCCTGACGCTGCTCCACTGCCTTGTGGATCAGACCTCTAGGTCAAAGGCTCCGGGTTTGGATCTCTAAGAAAACATCTGCTTCAGTATGGGCACCCGGGCAGTATCATAGCCCACACACAAATCAAGTGAATTTTGTGGCGCAATAATTATGTGTTCAAATAAATAGAACTACACTGAAACAGAACAAAAAAATGCTATACTATACTAAAACTTGAAAGATCACTCAATTACGGAAATGTTGATTCATTCTCATTATCTTATAAATAATTTATAAATCAATGAATTATTTTCTTGATTTTTCAATTCATATAAATAGATTACATCTATATGAAGTTTGTAGTTAATTTATTTTGTTTACTTACTAATTTATAAGTAGGATAATGTATAAAACATAAATAATCATAAAAGCAATAACACAACTTTCGAATTATCGTAGAAATATCGCTTTGAAAAATGGTATTCAGTAACCACCATTCAAAATCAAATAAATAAATCAAGAATTTATAGATATGTTCATCCGAAACTGAATGATCCCTTAATGTTGATTTTTACTCTACGACTCAAATCCAGTATTGTTCGCTTCAAGTGCCATCCCGTCACCCACTTAGCTACTGAGTCCTGATAGCCATTTGCTTGTCCAATGAGATGAAGTTGAAATTCACTTGATATTGTTTAATTGAATATTCCGATTGATGATTTAGGAATGCAATTGATCAGTCTCTTATTGGCATGTGTTTACTGTGCGTATTGCCTCGATATTGCCTTAATTCAAGTGCATTCTAAGCAAAGATGTATAGTGGCTAGCAGTGGAATCTAGGACGGGCTTTTCGTTCTATTTATATGAAGATTCAATTAAACAATACCAAATGAATTTAGACTTCGCTTCATTGCACTAGCAAGTGGCTAACAAGACTCAGTAGCTTAGTGGATAACATGATGGCATTGGAAGTGAATAGTACTGGGTTCGAGTCCCAAACTGAACATAAACTCTGAGATACATATACATCTAGCTGACCAGTCCCAAATAAGATGAAATGCGCGTCCTGGATTCCAACTGCTAACCACTATCTATCTTTGTTTCTAAAAGCACTTATTACTTTTATATGTTTTATAATTTTAATCCAAATAAATTTTCCCATAATAACTTAATCAATTTATTAAAATACTAAAATGACAATTCATTTAACCCCAATTTAGAAATCTCCTTATGTAAATGACCAGTAAGTAGATTTCAGAAAAGAAATAACTAAGTATATTTGATGAATATCTGTTAGGATGTTATGACAGGATATAAAGTCAAAATTAGATCGATTTAATCATTATGATTTTTATTCAACATTAATCCCGTTTTAATTCAATTCGATGATTACTCAGTATGTGTGGTGAGCTACTTATATCCATATACGTAGTATATAACGATGGTCAGACATAGAATGTATTTCAGTGGAAGATTGAGAGGGAAAGAACGGAAACAAAGAGTAATTGGTATGAAAATGCATGAACAATGAAATCTCAGATGATGGGCTGATATTTGCAAAAAGAACAGTCAAGTTTGAGACAATTGATTAATATTTTGCAAATTAACTATTTACTGTATGGTTGTCAGATATTGTGAGATGTTCTGGAATTTTGTGTCCAGATACACTCGGTTGTCCAAGTCGTGTTCTTATTCACTGCATGTATAGTATTTGTTTCGTTTTCCCCTATGACATTCTATTCTGTATAACATACGACATTCTTGTATGAACTGTTTTTCATATATGTGATTTATTCTGATTATTAATCAGAAATGGGTGTATTTCCGACTAGACTGTGTCAGGATTGCTCGTGCTTCTGGCTGGTTGCGGAATATATTTCCCCGTTTCGAACTTGTATTTCTCTTTCTAGTTAGCGGAGCTAGGATGCCTCAGAATAGCTAGCTTATTGGTCTTTTGTCACAGAGTTTTTGTTCCGTTCACAGACTAGGTGAACACGTGATTGCTCCAAACATAGCATCATAGAATAAATCAAACAATCATTCCGTTATAAAATAATTAATCTAATTAATATGGTTATGATTTATTTATGAGTTAGAAAAAAAATAATAATAAAGAATCAGATAGTGAATTAAAGATCACAAGACAATTAATTATTTCAATAGTCGAGATCATGAGTCAATTGAAGCTAGACTACTATGGAAAACCTGGAAACATTGGACGGTGGTCAAGCGCAAGACTGGTAGGTCCTGCGAGGCGGGGTCGTGGAAGCGCACTGCTGAGTAATCCCACAATAGGACGAAACGGCCGTCCAGTGCTTCCAGATTTTCCATGGTGATCTGGTTTCAATTGACTCATGATCTCAAGTAGTGAAATTACTACAATCTCCACAAAATCCCTTCTGATACAATCAATTATTATTATCTTCTAGCTATCTGGATAAAAAACCTTCAAAATGATAAAAAACATTTTCAGCTATTAATTCAGTATTTAATTGAGATGGATAAACTTTTGATGTAAAAATAATTTGGTGATATTTATGTTTACAGCTTTTTCTTTAAAGTAAATTTATATATTAACTTATGAATAGGAATGTAAGGGTTTGATTTTTTCTATTTCCTATAAAGTATATGTAGTTTCGGTTACTATGTTAAGTTTATATAACTTATTCTAGCTTCTGGACAGATCAGTCTATTCATTGTTCCTTCGTCACATTTAAGCCTTGTTAATTATTCACTTATCAACTTTGACTGTTCTTATGTAAGCATATATGTGTGCACTTCTTATTTTACTCATCACATGTCGGTAACCTATTTTTTGTCTGACTATAAATATCGATTCACACTTGGTTGGCTCACTCTCCTTCTCTACTATGTGCCATTTTGCTTCACTTATTTCCTTTCGTCCCTCTGATTGTCAGCCTAGATCAATGATTGTACAAAATATACATATTCTCGTACTTGACTTATTTAATCCGGTTATTCACTAATATGACTTAAGTCAATGCTTATACACGAAGATAGACAAGATGTATATTTTGACATTAATCATTCAATAACGATTATTTTTTTCGATCGAATTATAGTTAGATACCAGATCACTAAATCATATTGATCCATTTTACTCTTAAAATTTTAGTGTATTTTCTTTTTTAATGACCCCTGCTCATCTACATACAAGTAAAATTTAAAGATTTCCAAATCAATCTAAATGAATTTTAAAGGATTTCTCTTAGAAATCTGATTACTTTTAGTAAGAATAAACAAAGCCCCCCCCCCGCTCATCAAATATTGATTTTTGAAATACATTAACAATAGACATAGATTTACCATAATTTTATGTAAAAATCGATAAAAGCAACTTATCAAACTGTCATTAATACCATCATTGTTGAATAATAGTAGTATGTCATAGTTATTTGTTTAAGACGTTTATAGAATAGATAATATAGGAGTTTGATTTCTTATTCGTTTGACAATATTTTGATCCCTTTTCTAATTGAACAGAACTTTTTTTATTAAAAGACTAATATTTGAACGAAGAATATTCTTTTCGATGAATTCACTTCATGGTTCTACAATTATCTCTCATATCCAAATGAATAATCCGATAAATGGACAGGTTTAAGATAAAGTGTATTGTTTAATGTTATAGCATATGAATTTGTGATTGTTAAACAAAATAATCCCATTCGCAAAAGTCGAACCCAGAACCTTCGATTTCGAGCACAAACGCTTAAACTCTAAACCACTACAACCTGACCATCCTGATAGAAAACCTAAACATCAAAGTAGGAATGGACAACACCGAGTTTGAATATATCATAGGACGACATGGACTGATTAAGAGAAAGAAACGAGAATGATGAGAGATTTGCAAATTTACGTGCACTCAACAAAGTCGTTATGATGGAACCATGTTCCACCACAAATGCATACACAAAGCTACATGGGCCTCACTCGATCACAATACACACAATCAGATTGAACATATTTCCGCCACAGAAAATTTACAAGAAACGCAGACGATTTGAGAACTACATGAGGAGCTGACATAGATTCAGATCTTTACCAACTGATGGTTTCCAAAATAAAACTGAAGCTAAAGAAACACTGAATATCTCGAGAAACAGCATTACGATGCTTCGATACAGCATTCCTTTGACATGATAACAAACTCAAGCTATTCAAAATAGCTCTCAACAACACGTTCCAAACATTACAAGATCTACTCAAAGAAGAAGAAACTAACATTGATGTCAGTTGGAAAGCGATCAAAAAACCACTAACTTCAACGTGTCAGGA